CACTTCTATTTCCATGTACTCAGGGATGTGTTTTCCTCTCTTGGCAACAGGGGACCATTGCAATCACACAGATAGAAAGTTAAATAAGTGTGACCCTCCTCTGAGGAGTGCAAAGCTAATTAAAGAAGTGCACCTGTGACATCTCGAGCATCACAGACCCTTGAGCAGCACCTCCGTGCCCATTCTCCAGCCACATCCTCTCGTCCCCGTGGCAGCATTAGGTGGTACAAAGGGCTGTGTCCCCCCCCACGGGGTCTGTCGTGTGGAGATGGTTTCCTATTTTCAATTATAACCACTGGGGGGAAAAAAGCAGCACCACAGCCCATTTTAGGGCTCCCAGATGTAATCTATGCTTTTGCAGAAGCCCGTGGGTTTTGTAAAAATAGCAAATTTCTTGTGTTTGCAGTCTTTGGTTGTCGATGGTTGCTGTGGAAGGTTGAAATGAGGATCCTCACTAGGTCTTTGCTGAGCTGGCTGTGGGGCACATCCCTCAATAGCTGCGGTCTCTGGAGGTGTGTTTTTACGTACATAAATACAACCAGAATGGTGTTGGTGTAGCTCTTAGGGCTGTAGCGCGGCTGTAGCTGGCACTGCTTCCCTCCCTCCTGCCGGGCACAGCTCAGCTGGGGTTATTCTCTGCAGAGAGATGGGACTTTATTTTTACTAGAAGAGTAAATTGTTGTGGCCGCAAATTGTGAAAGTTGGCATCGCTTCCTGAACGCCGTAAGGAAGGAGAATCCTAGAGGGTTCCTGATCGAATTAGTTTCGGTGTGTTTCCACAGAAATGGGCTGAGCTGTACAAGAGCAGGCAGGATCCTTTGGAGATGAGACTTTTCAGGCTGTTTGCAGGAATACCCCTGGCTTGGAAGCACAGTGTTATTCCTCCAGTGATGGTCCGGTTCTCCACACACCTTCCTGGTGCTGTGTGAGCAGGACAGACCCTGCAGCCACCTCTCTCCAGCCCTCACCCTCTCTCCCTGCTGCTGGGATTTGGGTGTTTGGCAGCCGTGTGTTTGTATCAGGGGGGAAAAAAACTTCCTTGTGTCTGTTAAAATGAGGGATAACATGGGCTTATCTCTCCCGGTGTGGAGATGTAGCCCAGTTTTTTCCACGTGGTTGATCTCTTCCTCCCCAACTCCAGCTGCTGGCCGCAGCGGCCCCTTCCTGCTGTCAAGCTGCTTTCCTGCAGCTCATCCCTCTCTCCCTGACCCCCCCCCCAGCCTTGTCCCCATCCTCTGGTGTCACCACGCCACCATTTGGGAGCCCCTGAGGGAGGGGGTGACTTCCCACAGTGCATGGTACCAGTGCTGGACCCCACAGGGACACAGCACCCCCAGGCATGAGCATCTTCTGTCCCCTCCGTGGCTGGTGCCAGCAGGCACTGCTGCAGCAGGGTCAACCACAGAGTCATCCCTATGTTAATTTCCCAATTAACACCCCATCGTCATTATAACCTACATAATACCACAGCAGTACCCTACGCTGTCTGTCCGGTGTGGATATATAGGATTTGTCAGAAGCCAGTGTTCAGCCAAGGCTCTGTACGTGTGAAGGACGAGTCACGTTGGTCTGGAGGAGTCTGGTTTCCATTAAACGCTCCTCAGGAGCCACGCCAGGCGTTTGCAGCACTGCCTCTCCCTCCAGCATGTCCTCTCCTCTCCTAACCCTACATCTTCCACACTTGTATTTCTATGGTGGGGTCTGCACATGGTGCTGGGCAACCGCCCCGGCCACCCCAGGGATGTCCTTGTTGGCTGTCACCTTGTCCTGGCCACCCCAGGGATGTCCCCGGTGGCTGTCCCCTCAGTGTGGGACAGCAGGGATGGCTGCCACCTTCAACAGCCATTAGCTCCAGGTGGCACGGTGGGGTGAAGGCACACAGTCACTGCTCGCAACCAGGGCTTCCTATACCTGACTTTGCTGAAGGTGAGGATGAGGATGGCTCCCCAAAATGAAAAAATTTCCTTGTGCCAACCAAAACCAAGCAGCGCTGGACTAATGAAGGGCCTCTCGTTGTTTTTTTCACTCTTAAGCTAATGTGAGATGTGGTTTCCAGCATGTCCACCTGAATTTCCTTCAGCTAGAAACTTGGAAAATAAGCTTTCAGGCAAGACAACATTGTGAAAGGAAAATGTAACTTTAGTCAGCTATACCGTTTCTTTTTTTCCTGGTTAAAATTTATTGTGTTTGGCTTTTCCAAACCCTCCTCTGCTCTTTCCCTACCCCCTGTTTCTATAAAACCCAAAAGGCAAGCAGCTCGCCAAGGACCGTTCCTCCGATGCTGGGACTAAACGCTGTGCTGACACATGCCATGGAAAACCAGTGTCTGCCAACCCTCTGTCCCCTACCATGGCATTTGTACCCACAGGGACACATGCCACCGGTGGAAGGGGACAGATGGACGCTAGAGAGAGGGACAGACACCAGCTGGGGCAGGCAACGGAGATGGATCCAGTGGAGGTTTGGGAGGGTGGGATGCAAGGAGCCTCCTCAGGTGCCACTGGCCTTCAGAGGGGCTGCTCAGGTGGCATTTAAAGGGGGTGATTGAAGTTCACCCACCAACAAACGCAGCTGAAGTGCAAGGAGAAGCTGGGCAAGGGCCACCAGCAGCATCCAGGGACGACGACGAGCGTTTGTGAGGGGACAAACAAAGATTCCCCTGAGCGACAACTCAATGAGAGCCTCCGGCCCTGGCCTGAAGCGAACGCTGCGGGGACTGAGAGTGAATTATTTGCTGAGGTTTTCCATCAAATCAATGACATCATTCTGTGCTGGAGTTCACCCATTTACGCGCTCTCATACCGCCCCCCCCCCTCCAGCAGCTGTGCTTAAATAGCCACATTCAGGCCTGAATCTGCCCATTCAGGAGCAAAGGTTTGACCCGTCGGAGGAAACTGCTGAACGAAGCTTTTGAGGGGAAAGCAGGGACTGTGTGCTCTTCGAAGCCATGCTCCTCCCCAGGATGGGGACCTGGCTGTCCCCACGTGCCACCATGGCTTGGGGAGGGCCAGGGGTCACTGGGATGCTCCTGACCTAGGGACAGGGGAAGAAGAGCAGCCTGGGGACCTGCTGGGATCCTACACAGGCCACTTGATTTCTTTTCCCAACATCCAATTCAGCGTTTTCTAATTTTTCTCTCCCCTTCACAGCAGTGTTTCGGAAAACCCCATGTTTGCCCCCGTGGTGATAAGTTCTTTTGTCACTGAGTCTGCAGTGGAAAAGAACAAAAAAAAATACACCCTGATCACAATTTTTCTTGGGCTAGAAATGCAGGGGGGTGCCTCCTCACTAATTCACACCTCATTTTTGGCTGTTAGCTCCCCCCAGCTGATGCCAGAAGTGATGGTTCTTGTCTTATTTTTTAAACAAATAGACAAATTAAAAAAAACCCAAGCAAACAAACTGTGTTACACAGAATTGTGCTGTTAGAGCAATCTTTCCCCTGGTTTGCCCAAGCTGGGGAGTGTGAGCTGGTTGCACGTTCACGCCTGTGCCCTCACGTCTTCCACACTCCCAGCTCCCTGAATTTCAGAAAGCGCCGCCGCTGTGCTGGAGTCCAAAATTAGAGAAAACAGCAACATAAATCAACGTATAACATTATTCCTTTGCTTTCGTTTTATTTTCCACATCCTAGTCCCTAAGGTCAGGCAAGTTGAGCCTCCTTCTGTTTGTATCTCGAGTATTTGCTGTTGGAGAGAGACTAACCCCCTCCAAAAAAAATGTATTTTAAGTTTGTGCAGGAAGATGTGGGAGAAGGACTGTTTTTTTCCTGGGGTAAAGTGTTACCTAGGGCTGTCACAGCTGTCACTAGGTGGGTGATTTTGGCTCTGGGGTCTGCTGCGTGGTCACTGCCCCGTCCCGGCCGCGGTTCCTCTGCCAGTCTCAGCAGCCGCCTGCACGACAACGGAGCCACTGACGAAGCTGTGAAGCAGTCACACCAGGATGCAGAGACACAAAGGATCCTTTTTGGCTAGAAACTTCTCTGGAAAGTCCAAAAATAATTTGGGCTGAGCTACCAGCCGCCATCAGGAAGCGCCTTTGCTTCGAGACTGAAGGTTTCTTCATCGACGGGCCAGGAGCAGGTCCCAGGGCCATCTGCAGCCACGCTGCCAGGCACAGCTTGGGCACCGTCAGGCTTCTCTGAGGGCCTCTTTGTGTCTCTGACCCCCTAAAGAGGGGCAGTTATTTTGGGTCCTGTCTTTCTGCCGTTTATTTTCTGACTCTACACATTTTTCTCCTGTCTAATGAATCACTATGAGCAGCGAGAAGCCCGTCTGATGGTCTCCCTGCTCCGAGGAGCTGTGCTGGTGCGTGTGTGGCACCGGGGACACCTACCTCTCTGAAAACATTCTAATGGTGGTGGTGAATGCTGTGTTTGAAGCTGCATCTTTTCCTGCAGGGGAAATGTCTCAGTGTCTCTTTCCCCCTACCATAAAAAAGACATCGAGGTGCTGGAGTGGGTCCAGAGAAGGGCAACAAAGATGGTGAGGGGTCTGGAGAACAAGTCTTGTGAGGAGAAGCTGAGGGAGCTGGGGTTATTCAGCCTGGAGAAGAGGAGGCTGAGGGGAGACTTTATTGCTCTCTCCAACTCCCTGAAAGGAGGGTGTAGAGAGATGGGGGTCGGTCTCTTCTCCCAAGTCACAGGCAACGGGATAAGAGGAAACGGCCTCAGGTTGCACCAGGGGAGGTTCAGGCTGGATATTAGGGTTATTAATCCTTGGAATGGGCTGCCCAGGGAAGGGGTTGAGGCACCATCCCTGGAGGTATTTAAAAGATGGGTTGACATAGTGCTTAGAGACATGGTTTAGTGATGGTTTTCTATCAGTTAAGTTGATGGTTGGACTAGATGATCTGAAAGGTCCCTTCCAACCTAGACAATTCTATGATTCTATGATTTTTCTAACCACCTCGCTATAGTTTTGTTCCATTCAGGCTAAATTTCTAAGGCTTTGCAAAACAATTGTGAAAATACACAACCTTATTGCTCTGTCCTTTTCCAGGTTACTCGTCGGCAGTACAGAAATTCTCCCAGACTTTGCAGTCCTTTCAGTTCGACTTCATTGGTGACACACTAACGGACGATGAGATCAATATTGGTAAGTTTTCTTCTTCTTGATGCAAACTTTCAGTAACTGAGACAGTCTCTCCTTTCGGAATTCGCCTGCCCTGATGGTTTTTAAACATCCTCAGGAGCTGGGTTCCTCGGATGCCAGTCAGCTGTTCCACCGCGTATTTTACAAAGTTGAACTTTCACGGGTAGAGTTTCACATTCCTAATTCAGCGGATAATTTGTGGAGGTTTTCCATGGCTCCAGCCCTGCTCTGTGCTGCCAGTTTCTGGGGACGATGGCGGTGCAGCAAGCCCCCTTTCCCAGTGCTGCAGGTGGAGAGGGAACACGTCTCCTGCTCCAGGCAAGTGCTGCTCCTAAAGTTGCCTTTGTTCTGCTGAAGATGCCTTTCAAAAACAAAGTGGCCCCTGCACTGCCTTCAAAAAGGGACCAGGCTGCAAACTGCCTGGAAAAATGAATTGCTGGATGTTTCATTGTATGGAAAATAATGGCCGGTCTCTGCCTTCGCAGCAGGGAAGCCTGTGGCACCAGTGTGGTTCTGCTCCCCGCACATCTGTTTGGGGATTAGCAGTCCTGAAGCCATTTTACGTCCCAGTGCAACAACTGTGCGGATTACACAGCTGCCAGCTGCACACTGGGAGCAAAACTGAATGGCCTAAATGCCTAAACCCGGTGCTTTTCAAATTAATCCCGCTCTTGGCTGAGCTAGAGTTGAATGGCTGGTGTGTGGGTGCTGCGGTGGTGGCCGCTGGCAGGAGGGACAGCAGAAAATCCTCTCAAAGGGTTGACATGTTGACAGTAAAGAAGAAATTCTTTCCTGTGAGGGTGGTGAGATGCTGGAACAGGTTGCCCAGAGAAGTTGTGGCTGCCCCATCCCTGGAGGGCTTCAAGGCCAGGTTGGATGGGGCTTGGAGCAACCTGCTTTAGTGGAGGTGTCCCTGCCCATGGCAAGGGGGTTGGAACTGGATGATCTTTAAGGTCCCTTCCAACTCTAACCATTCTATGATTCTGTGTCCCCATGGGACAAAACTCGGGGGGGTCCTGCCTGGACTGAGGGGATGGGGCTACTTGTGGTGGGGGGCACAGGGCATCAGCCAGGCTGCTCCTGGGGGCTGAACATAGTGGGGAAAAAAAAGAACAAAACCCAAAGCTTTTTTCAGGCTGTTGTTGAAGAGCGGCTGCAAGTGTACAAGTGTAACATTGCTGATGTCAGGTCTCTCGGCCATCACCGAAAGGGGAAGGAAGTAAAGCCTGTTCTTTGGGTTGTTTTATTTAAAGCAGTTTAAAGCAGATTGCAGCTTGCCCTTCAAAAAATCTGATTTCCTCTATGGAAAGTCTCTAGGTGAAACCCACTGGAAATGAGTCAGCGTCCGAGTCTAATGGCGATAGAGGTACTGCCTTTCTCTGATTTCCTCTATGGAAAGTCGCTGGGTGAAACCCCCTGGAAATGAGTCAGCGTCTGAGTCTAATGGCGATAGAGGTACTGCCTTTCCAAACTCATCTCAATAAAGGAGGGGAAATCGTTGCCTTATAAATGCCCCTCCTGGGAGCAGAGGGATCTGAAGCAAACAGCCGCCCAAGGAAAGGAGCGTCCCTCCTCTCGGCTGGAAGGGACAAAAGCTCCAATGTCCTACACCCTTGTGCTGATCGTGGGAGGGGAGCAGAGCCTGCCGGGGGTGAGCTGGGGCAATGAGCCGCTGCGGTGCGGCCACGGCACTCGGTGGGTGAGGAAGAACCTCTGCAAACAACTGAGGTTGAATGGGGGGATCGTGGGCAGAGGAGAGCAGGAAGAGATCCCAGCAAATGTAAAAACACTCCGTGGTGAGAGGAGCAAGCTTCCGTTTTTGTTGGGGATTATTTGCCTTGCTTTTTCAAGATGAGGTTCTTGGTGGGCTGAGTTCCTCCTCCTGCCCCAAACCCCGCAGCGCCTGCGTCCCCAAAACAGCGGCGGGGCGTTGACATCTCCCTAGCAGCTCCCATCTCCTGCAAGGGTGCCAGAGATCTGCGTGGGAGTGTAGGAGCTCATTTGATGTGCAGGATATGGCAATGAAGGAAAACATTCCCAAGAACTTCTTATTGTACTTCGGGGAACGTGTTTGATCTGTAAATATAACTAATGGCGCACTTCTGTTTTTTTTATGTAGGCAGAGAGCAGGCTGACACCCCTGCACGTCGGGTAGTGGCTTTGAACACTGCAAGTGGGAGTCAGGACACAGACACTGGGTTGATGTTGTCTGTCGAGAGCACTGCTTTGCCCCCGGGGTGTTAATTGTGACAGATGCACCCTAATTACACAGCGGCTGCAGTCCCTGTGCCGGTCACCCACGTGGGACTCAGCTCAGCAGCTCCTCCAGAGATGAACGGAGTAATTTAAGGGGAGATTTAAATTAGATATTAGGAAGAAATTCTTTCCTGTGAGGGTGGTGAGGCACTGGAATAGGTTGCCCAGAGAAGCTGTGGCTGCCCCATCCTTGGAGGGGTTCAAGGCCAGGTTGGAGAGGGCTTGGAGCAACCTGGTCTAGTGGGAGGTGTCCCTGCCCAGGGCAGGGGGTTGGAACTGGATGATCTTTAAGGTCCCTTCCAACCCAAACCGTTCTATGATTCTACGATAACCCAATGGGTGTCACTGGGAGAATGGTCTGTTCTGTGTCTTTGCTTTAAAATGTGGCTTTGGGGTCTTCTCTTCCTGATCAACGATATCTATCACTATGAAGGTCTAGGGAAGAAAAGTTATGCTAGATAATTAGAGTGCACTTAATCAGAGGTAGGAGAAGAATGCATCGTCTGGTGGGAGGTGTCCCTGCCCAGGGCAGGGGGTTGGAACTGGATGATTTTTAAGGTCCCTATCAACCTGAACCATTCTATGATTTTATGATAATGAAATCAGATGGAGTGTTTCTCCCTCCCAGGCACAGGAACATGAAATCCTGCTTTTAAAGAGCTGATGCTCCTGGCTCTGGCCAGCTGAGTGACTCCCAGGGGTGACAGGCAGTGGTGGCCACCCTGCTGCGCTCTGCAAGGGTTTCCAAGCACTGACCCAGGCCAGCAGCATGCGTCCACCCCGGTGCTCCTGGGCACCACTGGTTTGGCAGCGGGGTGTACCCTGAGCTATGTGTTTGTGGTGCAAGGACAAATTCAGTGGGTTGCACTGCAACTGCAGCCAGAAAATGTGTGCCTGGACACATTTTCTGAGCAAGGAAAAAAAAACCACAACAACATCTACTGAAAATTTTAGGCACTGATATTTTTCCTCTAAGTTCTGAGCTGGATTCTCTTTCTCCCTGTGATAATTCCTTTCCTGGCTCAGGCTCCCGGTGTCTGTGCTCACTTCAGGTTCAACACCGTCCTGAGTAACCACAGAGAAAGTCAGCGTGTCGGCCCTGCGGTCGAGCATAACAAACTATGAGGACATCGCATGTGCTGGGCTCTGAAGCCCTCGCTCTGAAAGAGAACTCAGAAGTTACTGACTCATCAAGAAGGTTACGTTTTGATGATGCCAGCCTGAGGGACTGTGTCACGAGGCTGTGGTTTTTCCCCTTTTGTGTCTGTCTCAGCAACTGCAGCGTGAATCCTCTAACACTGGAAGCTCCTACTCGCTGGCTGGGCAGCAGCATTTTGGCTGGTTTTTAGCAGAAGGACAGGTCCTTCTTCTAAGGTACCGCCTGTGGATGAGGGGAGAGGGCCCTCAGCTTGCAGGCAGGGCACAAATGCATCCTCTCCCTTTCTCTGTGGGATGAGCTATTGCTGTATGTGCCTCCCTATATGTCTAACTTGTTTCCTCGTGCATTACCCCTGCCGTGCCAGGAGCTCTGATGCCAGCCAGGTGCTCCTGAGGTTCTTTGGTTTATTTTCAGACGGTTTTTAAATGGCTCAGCAGTGGTCAAGTGCCTCCGCGTGCTTTGCAGGGAGTGCAGGGTCTGAACCACAAGCACAAGGAACTCCTCTAAATTTTATAAGTCAAGCCATTCTGTGTTTTCCACCTGGCAATGGAAGGGTGAGCATGGAGCATCTGGGACCTGTCCCCAGCGCTGCTCCGAGCAGGACCAGCTGAGAGCAGAGCAGGGTGCTGCTCCCACAGCTGGGAGTGCAGGAACCTCTCCCAGCTAATTCCCAGGTAGTTCCCAGGTACAGTGGAGCAAACAGATCATTCCCTGCAGGAATCTGCGTAGGCAGATGTTGGCCCAGCCTTGTCTTACAGCCTCCTGGAAAACTTAGACTTTTGCAGTGCTCCTCATTTCAGTGCTCTGAGGGCTTTTCTGCTGCGAGAGATTTTCTTCCCTGCTACAAATTCAGCCCCTTCCTGTGTGGTTCTTCGGTGGGCAGAGAGAAAGGCTGAATATTCCCTCTTGGTGGTAACCCTGTTGGTGTGGGGAGAGTCAACTACGCCTGCCTAGTCTCTTTTTGTTCCCCAGGCTAAATAAACCTGTTTCAGTTCGTTCAAGGAAAGGTTTCGTATTATTTTTGTCGTAGTTGGGCTCCCAGAAAAGTGCAGATCAATGAGATATTTCTGTTTTAATTTTTAACATTTTGGGTAGTGGTGTCAACCTCTGTGAACATTTCTACACCTGCTGCCTTTCCTTCCTAGGTACACGGACTTTGTGCTTCGTGTCGCTGAATGTAATCTTTATGATTCTGGGCTGGTTTCATTTCACAGGCATATCTTGGTCCTAGAAAGCACCTGCAGCTCTTCCCAGCTCAGGCAGAGGTACTTGGCCTGTTCTGGTGCTGTCAGCAATGGTCCAGGCAAGACAGAGCCCATCCTGCTGCCGTCCCTGGTACCAGCGGCTGCTCCTTGCCCTTGTTTGCCCTTTCCCTGCCACCTGCCTTACCTGCTTTGCAGTACAATTCCTAATGAGAGCTAATTAACATTTTTTTCCCTTCCCAGGGTGTTACCTCCTTCATTATTCCGGGCAGGAGGCCCCTTTCTGCCAAAAGGGACCACCTCTTCTCTACTTTCAGCAAGCCTTTAGACAGCCATGCTGGGGTTGATGCCAGATTCGGGTACCCCAATGTGTGTCCCATACCCCAGTGCCACATCCCAGTGCCACTGACCAGCCTCTTCTTTTCTTTACAGCCGAGTCCTTTAAGGAGTTTGCAGAGCTGCTCCACGAGGTAGAGCTGGAGAGGTCCATGATGGTAAGATGATCTGAACTGTTCTCTGGTAATCACTACCTCCTCGCAATGTTTAAATGCTAAATCATGGCCAAACGGCACCGTGTACCTTGGTGTGAAGCTTCCTATGGGAGGGAAGCTGGGAGCACCAGGATGTTACCCAGAAAAGTTGTGGATGCCTTACCCCTCAAGGTGTCCAAGGCCAGGTTGGATGGGTCTTTGAGCAACCTGGTCTAGTTGGAGGTGTCCCTGCCCATGGCAGGGGGGTTGGAACTCGATGATCCCTTCTAACCTGAACCGTTCTATGGTCGTGCTTTTTACCATGTCTGGTCCACGGTGCCATCACAGGGAGGGGGAGAAGTTGTCCTCACACAGTGTCCAACACCCCTCCTCATGCCAGGCAGTCATGGAGCCCCAGGACCCTGCCATCCCTGCCATCTGCAGCCAGTTTGCTCTGTAGAGCCAGGTGTGCCTGAGCTGGTAACAAGCTGGTTCTGTGGCCAAACGAAGCACTAAAAAATAAGAAGCAAAATGTATTTTTAGCTTCATTTTTGCCAGGTGCAAGCACACAGGTCCCCTGTTGTCCCTGTGTGTGTCCCCCCCAGGGCGATGCGCTGCCTTCCATCTCCCGCTGCGTTGTGCCCTCTGCCTCTCCAGAGCGAGCGCTGGCTTCCCGTTTCACTCCTAATTCCAGGAAAAACACGAAGGTTAGGCTTGGTAGAGAGCTTTTACAGCATGCCAGGAATGTGCTGCTTGGCTCTGCTTCCCTCTGCCTCGTGCAGCAGCGAGAGCCTGTGCCAGGCTGCTGCCTGGGCCAGCACCCCAGGGGTGGCTGTGCCGGCGGGATGCCACCGTCCTCTCCGAGGGTCCGCAGGCAGGCAGGGACCAGGAGGAAACCAGTCAGAGGCTGGAGGAAAGCAGTAAGATATTTCTTTTTTAATGACATGCAAGGTAATTAAAAATGGCTCCTTTTTTCAGTGGGTAAGTGGGTGGAAGGGATCATTTCGGGGATCATTTTAGGGATGCTGTGCAACTTTTCTAAATTTTTGAGGCTTTTTTTGCCCTCTGCTTGCAGGACCGGTCTCTTTATGGTAGGTCACCCAGAGGGTTTCACACTCTCACCAGGTTGACCAGTTTTAAATTACCTGCTGCTGCTCTGGCAAACTGGTGGCCAGGGTTTGATGGGAGTAATTCAGTGTTTTAGGCAGAGGGCAATGGCTCACCACACAGCAGTGCCGGGAGGGTGGCAGGCTGAGGGAAACCTGACTGTCATCTACAGGATGTCCCCAAAGCCTCATGTGTCGTGACTGAGGTTTTCTGTGTATTACAGGCAGGGAAAAGTGGGTACGGATGGGTTAAATGGCTGCACCTACAGCCAGAGAACAAGTTTGCAGTCAGAGGCATTAAAATCTAGGAATTCTTGGCTCCTGGCCCTGTTCAGTCTCTGTTTAGGAGAAAATTAATCTGTGTCCCGTAATTAAACTGTTTCTTTCTTCGCACTGTAGGTGCAGAATGCTAGTGATTTGCTGATCAAACCTTTGGAAAACTTTCGGAAGGAGCAAATAGGGTTCACCAAGGTAAGGCTTGTTTTTTTGTTTTAAATTTAAACAGATGTGTATTACTGTGTTTGAAATCAATTTTTTCTCCTGTTTCTCTTTTGTTGCTGTTGTTTTTAAAAGGCAGACAATTGCTGTATTACATTTTGACTTCATGCTTTCAGAAACTTCCCCATTTAATGCCGGCTTTCAGCTGCTGGCAAGAGAGAGTCTGTGCTGTGACTTTTAGTCTGATTTTTCAATCATAAGAGGCTCCAAAACCTTTTCCTGAATTCTTTGGGTTCTCTTCTGGCCTAATTCCAGCTCTGTCTCCGTCCTGAGCGAGGAGGAGTGCTTGTTTCGCCCGGTGATCAGGAGATACTCCTTGCTTCTTTCTCTCTTCTCCTTTTTGTTCATTCAGTGCTATTGAGAATAAAATATTTTCCTCAGATTAGCGTATGTTGGAGCAGGAGGGAGAGAGAGCAGCAGAGGCCAAGCAGAGCTTGATTATAGTCATAGGGCTTTTGTTATGAAATATTTAAATAAGGCATCTAATGAGCCTTTCAGATGGACCGAACTTTTAAAGAAACAAGTTACAAAAAGCAAATCCTGCACATGTTGAGCAGAAAAGATTATTTTTCCCTTGTCTGCTATCAAGAAATCCAGGTTCCACGTTACTCGGCGGCAGCTTGAAATGGGGCTGGCTCTGAACCAGCTCAGAAATGGAGATGTTTTGGAGAACACTTGGGGCTTGGATTCGGCCCAGCCCATCTGGAGCCTTTGACGTTTAATAAATACAGGATTTGAGAAACGATACTTGATCACCATCCTGCCTTTCAGAATCCCCCTGCATGACTCTGTGTGTGTAGAACACTGCTCCAAGAAGGGGTGGCAGCGTGAATGTGGTGAAAGCCATGGCCACGGCCATCGGTCCTGGGCTGGGGGAAGCTCTGCCTGTGTTTCCTCACCTGGCACAGGGGTAGAACCTCCTCACCTCCTTGCCGGTGGGTTTTCCAGCAGGCCTCTGTGTTACCAGCACGTGGACGTGCCCAGGGCTGAGAGAACACTCCCTCCTGTTCAATCTGTCTGCGTGAAGAATAGGGCCAGCACAGATTTAGAAAAGAGTCATGGGGAAGGAGTCATGGGGACAAGGTCAAGCTTATTTTCCCCTCTTGTGTTTACGGAACACTTAAGTCAAGAGGGCAGCAGTCTGCAAATGTTAAGATGACAGTATTAAAGTGTCCTTCTGGCTGTTTTCTTCTTGAGTAGCCTTTCAGGTGTGTAAGGATTCTATGTCTATGGGCCTGAGAGCTGTGCCACCTCCCACTGGGGGTCACATACCCTGCCTCCTGCTCCGGACCTCACCGGTGCCTGGTGACAGACACGTGTCTCAGCACGGTTGGTCCTGTAGCCCTGGCAGCTGGTGGTTCCGAATGTTGGCATGGCTTCACCTGGGAGCTTACAGCCCTTCCTTGGTGAGAAGAGGGCTCTGCCAGGGCCCAGCAGAAGTGCTGGCATGCAGGAGCTTGCAGGGGAGCACATTGCACCCCGCCGTGATTGCGGGTGCCCCCACAGTGATAGGGGGTACACGGGGAGGTAATGCTTTCTCCACCACTGCCCTGCAGCCTTGAGGGGGTGTGAGTTTTGGATTGAGCCCCAGCCCTCTCCAGAGCCTTGCCCTCACCTCCGATGCTTCCCTGACGGGGCTGCATCCTCATGGGTATCGCCTTGGGCACAAAGCCTTCCTTCACTCACCAGCCTGCAGAGCTCCTGTGGGTCATTGGCATCCCCCGGCAGAAGGCGTGAAATACAAATGAGGGCTCCTCACAAGGGAGCTCTGTCCCTCTCCGTTGCTGCTGAGCCTCCGCTGGCTGGCATCAGCCGAGTAGATCCTTCCTGATTTACACCAGGGGGAGAGAGGCTGGGGCCAGGCTGTGGCGCAGCCCTGAGACATGACACAGAGAATTTGTGCCCTCTGCTTCGTTTCCCATATTTTGGCAGAGTCGCCTCCTGTGAGATGTTTTCTGTTCTCTTTGCAAGATGCTGAAGCCAGATAGGAAGAGGCTTTGAATTGGGGCTTTGTGATGACTCTGGCTGGAGAGCAGCCAGTCAGTCTGACTAAGACATCTGAGTCTGCATTAACCCGTTTTCCCGGGGATGAATGGAGTCTCCTCAGTCAGATGGCATCCTCCCGTGCAGGGGAGCCCCCGGGGTGTCACTAGGACCCACCGTAGCTGTCCCCTTCTCCAACCACCATCCCCTGCTAGCCTTGGACCCATGGGATCGTCGCTCATGGCTTGTCACTAAATCTTTGTGTAGCCATAAGGAGTAAAAGCAGAGGATCTGGGATCTCCTGAGCTGACCCATTCCTCAGCCCTGGCCAGAACCTTATTCTGCTCGAAAGCTGTAGAGTGAGAGTTCATGGATGAGGGTGCAGCACTGATTTGGGGAGCGTGGAAAGGAACCGGCGTAATTGAGGGGGCGGATGGTATCAGGGAGGCAGAGGCATCCCTTAAGGGAGAGAGTGCGTGGGGTGGTCCATTTTTTTTTTTCATTTCACATTAGATCGTATTCACAGAGGCTACACTGTGGGCTCGGTGAACTCGTGGCGTGTGGGGTGGTGGAGTTCTTGATTTGCAGGGAAAGGAGAGATAATTAGAAGGATGTGCTCACCCATAATGGGAACGTGAAGCAGGAGGTAGGACTGATCGTGGCCTGACTCCCCGGATGAGCACAGTGTTAATTAGCCCTCCTGCTAATTAACAGTTCCTCTCGATGTGCAGCGCTGTGGGGCAGAGTGAGGGGTGTGTGCTGCAGCAGATGCAGAGCTGCAGCAGCCCAAGGAAAGTCTCTCCTCACCCTCTCACAGGACAGACCCCTTTGGCACAGGGGGGCTGGAGCTGAGTTTGGGGCGCTGCCACGGGACCCTTGGACACGGAGGGTGCCTGTCCCTCACTCCCTGTCCCTCCCAGGAAAAGCCTTTGGCTTTCAGCTCACACCCTGCAGGCAAGCTCTTTTCTGGGGCTGGGTTACTTTCGTTAAGATCCTTGCTGTGGTCATTAAGTTTAGGAGGATTTGAATAGGAAAGGTTTCATTCCAATTCCACTTGGAAGGAGACAACTTTTTTTGATAAAAAAACCCAATCCAAAACAAAGAGGAAAACACAAAGCAAAACAAACAACAACAAAAAAAAAAAGTCAAGAGGGGGAAAAACTTGTTTGGACTCATTGTAAGCTGCTGGAGGAATGTTTACTACTGTTGTGGTTTAACCCCAGCCAGCAACTAGGACCACGCAGTCATTCACTCCTCCCCAAGGAGGGTAGGAAGAAGAGGGAGAAAAAGGGAAAAAAAAACCCTCATGGGTTGAGATGAAGACAATTTAATACAGCAGTAACGGAAGAGAAAATAATAACGATGGTAAAAGAATATCCAAAATAAGTGATGCAATACAGTTGCTCACCACCTGATGATCGCTTCCCCATCCCATCCCCAGCAGCGATTGCAGATCCCTGCCCCCCAGCCAACCCCCGTTTCTATACCGAAAATGGTATCTGTGGTCTGGAATATCCTTTTGGCCATTTTGTCCTGTCTCTGCACCCTCTCAGCTCCGGTGGGAATGAATGAGCTTCTCCTGCTCATTTCTGATTAAAGCAGCATCTTCTGAAGCTCAGAGAGTGAAGCTTTCCAAGAGAGCACCCTCCACTGCACAGGATTCTGCCTGCATTTGGGTGAAATTGCCTCTGTTTCTCTGGATGAGCACATAAATTAATGTTGGGTGGCTTCTTGGACTTGGCAGATCTTAATGGGAAGGTAATGTGTCCTTTGCTGAATATTCATGAGGCACTAATTTGTGCTTATGTTTCCAGATTGTGCTTCAGTCTGGGTAGGTTTTTTGTGTTGTTTTTTATCTTGGCTTGCTCTACTCAGCAGCCAGCAAGCTGTTAGAAGCCTTGGCTTGACAGTCAGGAGGGATTTGTAGTTCATCCTTCTGCTTTTCAGTTATATGTTAATTAGCCAGAGTGGGAAGTGATTGGCAAGTCCTCTTCTAGTGGCCAAAAATGTCGTTCTGTTCTGCTTTCCGCATGGCAGCAGTTGTCCTGCAGGAGTGAGCCCTGCTCCTCACGCCGATGTCCATCTCAACCGTTGTCCTTCATCCCCTTGATCCCCAGGGAGAGCCTGGTGCTTGGCACCCCTGGCACGGCCACGTGCCCCTGCCCACCCATGGGCGCTGGTGGAGGAGGAGATGCTCCCTGAAGGAGTTGTTGTCTTGCCTTTGAGCTCCTGCTGCAGAAAAAGCTCTTCCATTGCTCCCCCAGGGCTTCTTGTGTCTTGTCCCTCTGCCCCAGGATGGACTGTGTCTTTCTGCAGGGCACTGCCCGTGCGAGCTGGTGGCAGAGCTTCTGTGCGGGTCCCAGTTTGTGGTCTCCCTGTGGCCACAGGCTCGTGGTCCGGGGGCCATCAGCCACCCACAGCCTGTGGTCTCCCTGTGGGTTCGTGGTCTTGTGGCCGCCCGCACAGGCACCACAGCCACCCACAGTGACGTTGCTTCTCCTGGGGCCAAGATGCTCCTCAGGGTGGGAGCCATTGAGTCCCAGGCTGCTGCATCCAGAGACATGTCCCCCTGCCTGTGGGCTCTGCTGTGCCCAGCCATGGTGGCAGCAGGCTCTGGTGGGCAGCAGCTCCCTGCCCCCTTGCCCTGCTCTTTCCTACAGCTCCCGGGGCAGACAAGCAGCCACCCAGCTGGACGGCAGAGCGTGGGAGAAGTTGGTCCCTGCTCTAGGCTGGAGCGTGGCTGCCATCCCCCGTGGCCACTCCACCAGGGTGGGGACGGCTGAGTCACTCTATGTGTGCTCATCCAGAGGCAGGACAGGACGCCTGGAGTGATGTCCCGAGTGCTGGAGCATCCTTCAGCCCCTCTCCTGCTGTACTTTCATCTGCTCACCTGTGGATCCCCCCTCATCTGTGGGACAGAGCGGGGCTGGCACCATCTCGGAGACCAGCTCTGTGTGCCACCTCCATGGGGACAGCTGAGATCTTGTTGCTTGGGCTTGGAGCTGGCTTGCCATCCTTGGGGCAAACATTTCGGGACCTGCTGCCGCTGTGGCCATCCTCTTGGAGATGCAAGAAGCCAGCACCAGGAGAGGTGTGATCTGTGACCCGTCAGCCACCGGCACTCTTGGTGCAGTGGAGTTCTACTGCACTTCTGTGGCCTTGGGGTTTGGTGACTCCTCGTTAGAGAAATGAAAACAAGCCTTGTTTCAAGACTTGAAAACAAGTGTCCAGACTCTAATTTAGTCTGGAGAAGAGAAGGCTGAGGGGAGACCTTATTAATGCTGACAAGTATCTCAAGGGTGGATTGAAGGATGATGGAGCCGGATTCTTTTCAGTGGTTTCCAGCAATAGGACCAGGGGCAACGGGCACAAGTTGGAACATAAGAGGTTCCACTCAAATATGAGGAAAAACTTCTTTAAGGTGAGGGTGACAGAGCCCTGGAAGAGGCTGCCCAGGGAGGTTGTGGAGTCCCCTTCTTTGGAGATTTTCAAGACCCACCTGGATGCCGTCCTGAGTAACATGCTCTGACAAGCTCTAGGCAATCCTGCTTCAGCAGGGGAGTTGGACTAGATGATCTCTATGGTCCCTTCCAACTCTAAAAATTCAGTGAAACTCAGTGAAATTCCTGGCTGCGAAATTCCAATTAGACCTGGCATCTCCTGGCAGAGGCAGACAATGCAGAAGTGTGACCTTACAGAGGCGGTAATCGCTGCTTCCCAAATGCTTTTGCTTCTCCGGGTTTGGATTTACTTATCAGGGGTGGTGTTAGTCACGAGGGTGGTGTTTTGTTTTGACAGTCCTTCCTGGCATCGGCTCCACAGCTGCAGCACTGCTGAAATTCCCTTTTGCCCTGGGAGGACTCCGTTCCTCTGGATTTGATGGCTGGATCTCCTTTTATTCGGAGGCCTGACTTTGGGAACGCGACGTTGCGGTGTCCCTGATATTGCAGAGGATGGTACCAGAAGATACACTTTTCTTCAGGGGTCTTGTGGTTACAAGGTCTCTGTAGGGCAGTAGGTGTAATTATTGGGGTAAAAAGGTTGGCTGGTGTAAGCCTGCCCTACTCCAGAGAGTTAAATAGAAGCGGCGATATTTGAGTTGGTGCCTCTGCAAGCATTACTGCATTTTTCCATGGTAATTGTGCTTTCACACAGGATTAGAGAAACAGGACTTTCTTGTGGGGTGAGAAATCCTTTTCCTAGGAAGACAGCTGGCAGTAACGCTTGGCCGCCCTTTTTCTGAGGAACCTCTAAGGAACTGGTGTCCACCAACGTGAACCTGAGTGCCTTCTCCAGCAAAGGCCAAGATGGCCTGTTAAATGGGAGAGCCTTTGCCCTTCTCTGAGAGGTGCTTCCCATGATGGGTAACGTGGGCACCTGTGCAAGCTTCATGTGCTCCAACAGCCAACCTTCAAGTGTCTCCCTGTGTGTGTGCCCACCAGAAAATCACCTTTCTTCTTGCAGAGGCAATACAGTGGTAGCCGCTACGAGCGAGATGCTGAGGAGAAAGCAGAGAGTTAGGTGGAGGCTGACTGTGCTCAGCCAAAGTGCCAATTCAGGGAGCCCCCAGGCATCCGCTGTGTAGGACACCCCATTAGACATGGATAGTCTGCGCAAGTGGAATGGGGAAGCAAAACTTCACGGCTGGAGAACTGACTAAAGAAAGAGAAAGGACTTTATTTAGGAAATGCAGCTTCAAACTTTGCGGTCGCTACTGAATTGTGAGGGTAATAACTAACAGCCACCAGCCTGGCAGAGTCCGTCTGCTCTGTTTCGGGCTGGCATTCGTGTTGGCTTATTCATGGATTTCTGACTAGGGGAGAGAACAGGATTTCAGGGCTTTCAGGAGATCGTTCTTGAAAGATACCACCAATTCCACAGGAAGTGGGGGTTTTCAAACTCTGCTTTCCACTTTCTTGAGCTTTCAAATTCTAGACAGAGGATTTGGGCATCGTATACATACTCTGTAGTATATATAATTAGTCCTCAGCTACTTGGACCTGACAGTGAGGCTGCTTCCAGGCTGGAATTTCCTTATTTTAGCAATTTAGCTGCCTCTCAGCAACTGATGCCTCACTTATAATCTGATTTGGGTCAACCTGGCTTCTACTTATGGTTGTTTCTTGATTGCCACAGTCTTCCGTGGTTTTACAGTCATTTTAAGGCATAAGCAAACAGCGTGGTCCTCAGCTCAGCTTCTCCCTGTGTTCTCTTTGGGTTTCATTCTCACGTGTCTCCTTTTGCTCTCTTTATAGACATTTCCCCTTTCAGGTTTACCATGCCAACAACTCTTTTTGTTAGAGTGCTTCCTTCACAAAGTCTTTGTTTCTTAACAAATCAGTCCCCACTTTGTATTTCCCCGCCTGTGGTAGTGTACAGTAAGTCAATAAGAACCAGCCCATCCACAAAGGACCTCCAAGAGGTGAAATTCTTCACATTGTGCACTGTAAAACAGCTGTGTTTGAGGCAGTGTGTTCCCCTGGGCTGCTTTTGGGCTGGGCACTACGCACTAAAACTTGTCTAAGCTTTGCCTGCAAGGTTTGTCATCTCTCTTTCCACCACTGTTTATAATAAAGAGACAATGACTTCCCTCCCACATTGTTGCATGTGCTTATCTGGAAAATGCCAATACCTTGTTATGCTTCAATTCTTGCCCCTACAGGAAAGAAAGAAAAAGTTTGAGAAGGATGGTGAGAAGTTTTATTCTATGCTGGATCGCCATTTGCATTTGTCTTCCAAAAAGAAGGAATCCCAATTACAGGAGGTGTGTATGGGCTTTTCTTCAGCTGGGTCCAAAATCGACACCACCAGCTACTCTAGATCTTAAAAAAGGGGGAGGGAAATCATCCCTTTCAGTAACCAGTTGAAATTGATAAGCAATTAGATCTATCTAAAGCCTATTCACGTGGATGAGACCAGGGATATCGAGGTGGTAGTTCACCATAAAGTGCCAAGCAGCAATGGTGGCTTTAAGCATTGCCATCTCTTGATCTCACCCTTATAATAGAGGGCAGTGACCAGTTATGCTAGCACAGCTGGGGATTGGCCACCCCTTGAACTGGTTTGGGGAACTAATCTGGCTGAAAAACAACTGGTTTATTTTTCTTTTTGCCAGCCTAGTTTCCTGCCTTTCTTCTGGGGGTTGCAAGGCTAATTGTGGCAGCAAGCCCAGGGTGGCAGTGAGCAGCGGGTAGAGGAGGGATGGTGCTCCTTCAAGCTGATGCTGCCACCAAACATGTTGCAACAAGAATGGAAAGCCCCAGCTGTTCCAGCCCACATCAGAGTAGTTGGATCGAATCAGATCTGTCCAACCAGTTGTCAGATCAACCTACGAGCATCTTTGCAAGGCAAAATCTGTGCAAGCTGCGGGGACGTGGCATACCACGTTGTTCTACCTGGTGCTGCAGCTCTGGAATTGCTGGTTTCAGGTCGCAGCAGGAGTCTGAGAAGTGTGGCCAGCATTCCAGCCTTCTGGTTCCATGCAAAGTGTTGAAAACCTGGGTGGGACACCTTTGGCAGGCTTTTTCTTAAGTGAGGACAAAACTATTTGTGGGTTGACAGACAAATGCTAGGCAAATATTGTCAAGCTAGATGTGATGGATTTATTTCTTTCACCTCTCCTTCTTTCTTCCAGGCTGACCTTCAGGTTGACAAAGAGAGACACAATTTCTTTGAGTCCTCCCTGGAGTATGTGTACCAGATCCAGGAAGTACAAGAAAGCAAGAAATTCAGTATTGTTGAACCGGTAGGAGCTTCCTTTTCTTTCAGGCCTCTTTGTTTGATGTTCAGATATGCTGACTTGCTAACAGTGGGAGGAAAGAATGAGTTACCAGGTTGGATTCGGTCCTGGGGAGTCTTGTGATGGAGCAGGAGTTAACATTGCACGCTTGGATTGCTGCAACTTAACAGCTTTAGTGGTGTTTTCTGGAGCATCGCGAAGCCACAAACTTGTTTCTCGTGTCTGTAAGTCGATTCTGAGGAACAGGCCAGATGCTGTGGGTAGCTAGAGATCTTGTTATGAATTATCTTGGACACGTCGTGCTTGATAAATATTAGCTGTGTTCAGAGGGAGAGAGTTGTTATCTGGTCTGCTTACCTGCCATGGCTCAGGCTGTGGTGGGACCAGCTCATGGTTGTGCCCAGAGACCCTGCCCTGGGTGGGTGGATTTGTCCTGGAACCAGATGCCGTTGAGCGTGGGATCGTGTAGGTCTCATGGACGAGCAATCTGCAGATCTGCTCGTGTTCTCCCAGCAGGGTCTTTCATTTCGGGTGTGTTTTATTAAGACACATGTGTGGGTGGTAGACCTGGGCTTTAGGGACGTTGCGGTGGATAAGTCATACCAAGGTTTGCATCACTCCAAAATTGTAAGAAAAAAAACCAAATTTGTATCTGTAATTTCTGAAACTGAACTTCTTGTCTATCTTTCCTCTGATTAGAAATAGAGAAGGGAAGTTTAATCTGTGTCCTTTCACTCCTTTGCAGGTGCTGGCTTTTCTCCACAGCCTCTTTACTTACAACAACCTGACAGTTGAGCTCACGCAGGATTTCCTCCCTTATAAACAGCAGCTTCAGCTCAGCCTCCAGAATGTGAGTTCCTGCCCAGCTGAAGTATTTTTTTGCATGTGACTTCTATTCTCATTTGTATTTAGACGCCTCTGGTGGCAAGGCTTTTCCACACAAAACAGACTGTCCGTGTTTACATTGTGGGAGGTGCAGATAAAGTTATTTCCTTCTCAGTTCACACATATTTTCTCCTGTCCTGCACAAGAGAGTCTGCAGGTGTTATTATAGTGTTTTTCTCTGACCAGAAGGAGTTATTTCCAGTGTATAGTTTAACTTTGTGCATAAACAAGCCTGAGAATTTCTTCAGAAATGAGATCAGAATTGTACAAGTCTTCTAAAAAGGCCTCCAATTTTGATCTTAGTGGGATTGGCTCACTACATGCTTTGGTAGGCTCCTCCGCTGGCTAAATATACTCGTGGGCTAAAATATCTGTGTCCTGTTTCTTTCATCCTCAGTGTTTCACGGCTGGCCCTCACTCCCGTGGAACAACGGCCATAAATCTGTGCCAAGCTGAGTTTGCTGCTGGCTCATTAATTGGGCTAAGTGGTGTTCTGTAAAAACGCCTTGATTTCGTAGCCTGTGTTGATGTGACTCTTTAAAAATTCTTTCATGCCAAGCAGCGTAGCACGATCTTTTGAGGAATCAACGCCCTAGTTCTGTAGGAGAATACGCCTGTTACTTAAACAATGGTGTGAAGAGGAGTTCAGGTGCTGCCTTCTGCTCCACCTAGCCTTAAAATGTGCTAAGTTACTTTCATTGAAAGAACAAGTGTCCTCCCAGTGATGACACCTCAACACCATTGGTATGTTAAACCTTGTCTCTTCAATCATCTCTAGGAGTTCAGCTGTTCTTTTAGCTGGAATTTTCAGGTGAATTTGTGGTTTCCACAATTTGTACATTGGGGACCAATTATTTTCTGCCAGAACACCTAAAATTTCACCAGGAATACCTCAAGTTGTCTCTTTGCTTGTGTTCCAACGTGCTTCTTTTTGTTTTCTCTTAACAGACAAGGAATCACTTCTCCAGCACGCGGGAGGAGCTGGAAGACCTGAAGAAGAGGATGAAGGAAGCTCCCCTGACCTGCAAGCTACCTGGGCAGCCGACCATTGAGGGCTATCTGTACACTCAGGAGAAATGTAATGGCTTTTATAGGCACCTGAATGTGTTAAGGAAGGTGTCAGCCTGGGCTGCTCGGCTGCTTTAGCCGTGGCATCACCACGGGCTGTGCCACACAGGGCAGCACCTCCTACCAGTGCCCGCGGAATCACCGGCAGCTTCAGCTGCCAGCTTTCTCCGTGGTGGCTCAGAGCTTTCTCTGGGTTACATGAGCCGTGTAAGCAAGGAGCTAATTGCCCTGCGCTCAAATTAGATGAGATTTATTACTGTGTTGTAGCGCTGGAGAGACCGGAGCTCTGGCAGGTTGCACCTTGGCTGTGTTTTATCAGAACCAATCTGATGTCCTGCCCAGCTTCCCTCTCGCAGCATCTCTGAGGGCGTCTGAGCACAGCTGAAGTGTTAAAAGCAATGAGAATTAAGCTGCCGAGAGTGAAACTTCTTCTAATTCTGTGTGGAATCAAATCAAACCAAATTCAGTCCTTTGTAAATACGTATTACAGCTTTCCATGGCCATGCAAGCATGAACACTTCGGGGACAAAAGTCAATATGTGGAGCTGTGGCCTCTGAGTCTGCAACTTTGTGAGCAGCTAATTTTTGGATTGTATATACAAATGTATTTATACATACATTTGTATGTACATTTATCCTGCTTTTAAGAGAAAACACGCAGACAGTAATTCTAGACCACAAACAAATGTTGCATGTTCCTGCACACCAGTGCCTGTTTGCTGCCTCTGTTTATGTTTCCCCTATAAATTGAGTATGAAGAAAGTTGCTCCTCCTGACACTGCAACTTAAAAAAAGAAACTACAGAAAAAAAGATCAATTTAAGTATTTCATATAAAGGGGTTCGGGTAAGAAAACAAAGAAAAGCGACAATAAATCTAGTGTGATGTAAGTAGGAACTTTAGAGTGTGTTAAAGATGCTGTTGTCTTTACTGCCAAGTTTTCATCAACAGGAAAAAATAGTGGTGTGTGTGTGTGAAACAAGCATTCAAGACACGTAGGAGCCTGCCAGTGTAGGTCTTGGCTGGACTTGGTCAAACCTGCTTGGCTCGCAACCAGAGTCCCACAAATGCCCTTTCACCAGCAGTGTTTTGGGAGGGCAATGGAGGTGGCTGCCGCCTTGCGCTCCTCTCCTCCTCCTCCTCTTCCTCCTCCTGGCTCTTGCTGGCAAGGGAGGTGTCCCCACACCCAGAGAAGTGCTGGCCATGCATCCAACTAAGGTGCCATCTCTGACTCCAGTTTCCCCGTGTCTTTCCGCAGGGGCGCTGGGCATCTCCTGGGTGAAATACTACTGCCAGTATGAAAAGGAGGCAAAAACCTTGCGGATGACGCCCACGGACCAGAAGCCTGGAGCTAAGCAAGTAAGTTGGTTTCTTGGAGGGGTGTCTGCAAATATTGACCCAGCCATCAGGTTTCACCTTCAATCCACCCACGTCATCACTTTCCTTGAGCAAACAAACACACAAATGCCACGTCCAGGGGCAGCAGAGGCCATCCCTGCTGTTGCAAGCCATCATCTGGCAGTGCTGGTCCTTAAGACGTGCTGACAGTGGGCTGGTCCCAACGCTGCTGCTGTGGAAGGGGCTCCTGGCCACAGAGGAGAGGGGTGGGCTTCGTGTCCCCTCCTTGCCTGGCCACACAGGCTGGTGGTTTGGTGCAACCTGAAGGAAGGGCCTCTGTGAGGAGCAGTTTCACCTCCTTCTGTCCCAGATGACCTGAAGCCCTGCAGGGTTTGGCAGCAGAGAGGCGGGTTTGTGTAACATCAGCGTTATTCGGGCAGTGACGATTTGCAGGTTTGGTCTAGTGTGAAATTTCTGCCTTTCTAGACAGGCTAATTTTTATATTTATCCATGCAAATGGGTGGTGAACCTGCAGTCTGGTTTGCACATGAATCACAGAATCATGGAATTGTCAGAGTTGGAAGGGACATCCAGAGCCCATCTAGTCCAACCCCCCTGCCAAAGCAGGGTTGCCCAGAGTACATCACTCAGGAGCATCCAGGCGGGTCTTGAAAATCTCCAGAGAAGGGGACTCCACACCCTCCCTGGGCAGCCTGTTCCAGGGCTCTGGGACCCTCACCCTAAAGAAGTTTCTCCTTGTATTTGAATGGAACCTCCTATGTTCCAGCTTGTGCCCGTTGCCCCTCATCCTGTCACTGGAAACCACTGAAAATAGTCGGCTCCATCATCCTTCAACCCACCCTTTAGGTACTTGTCAACATAGATAAGGTCTCCACTCAGCCTTCTCTTCTCCAGGCTAAAGAGCCCCAGTTCTTTGAGCCTTTCCTCATAAGGGATGTGCTCCAATCCCTCAGTCATCTTTGTTGCCCTGCGCTGGACTCTCTCCAGCAGTTCCCTGTCCCTCTTGAACTGGGGAGCCCAGAACTGGAGGCAGGAATCCAGTTGTGGCCTCCCCAGTGCAGAGCAGAGGGGGAGAATGACCTCCCTCCACCTACTGGCCACACTCTTCCCTACGCAGCCCAGGATCCCATTGGCCCCCTTGGCAACCAGGGCACATTGCTGGCTCCCGTAGGCCTCTGGCAGTGATTACAAATACTCAAATTACTCAAGTTATTAGATGAGTGCTTCCAAAAGCAGTATTTCTCTGCCTTTGCGTGTTTGCGCAGTCCCTGGTTTGTGATTTTGATTTCTGTTCTCAGAATTGGTGACGTGTGAGCGGGACTGGTGCTAGGAGAGGAGGAGAGGGCAGGAGCTGCAGCTCTGAACTGCAGTAAGGCAAAGGTTTGGGGGAACTGCTTCTTTCACAAAATGCGTTGTTTTTCACCAGTGAGTGATGTGTCTGGGAGTTCCCTGCAGATCCTTGGGGTGACAGAGGAGGGGTAAGGATGCAGGCGCGGATGACGGACTGTGGCTCAGAGTCCAGCAACTGCGTCCAGCTGAGTCCCCCCACCCTCCTCTGCCATGGAGCCACGGCCCCCAGGGACTTCCCAGTCAGGCGTGCTGTTCTCCAGTTTGTGACCTCATGGTCTGTTCTTTGGCAGCCCTCTGCACGCTGCAGCAATAAAATAAAATGTATTTTTTGGAAGCTCTTGGCAGAGACCTTGGCAAAGAAATGTCCAAAACATTGACTGGAGAGATCTATTGTCATCTATGCCGTAAACATGTCTAGTAAGGCCAATTAATGCAGGGTAGGGGCTTGTAAAAATGTAAATTAGTCCTCTTCCCACACTCTTGCAGTCTGGTAGTCTGCACCTTCAGGTCAGCTTCAAATGCCACAATTACAAGGAGTGCTCTTAAAACCCCCAAACAACAAACACACACAATAAACGCAGCCAGGAGATAATCATCACGGCGTGTAAGCTGGATGTAATCTTGGAGGAGGCTCTCCTGGCCACCAGGCTGTCCTGGATCTGCTTGATCCGCTTCTGCCGGAGGTCTTGCAGATGTGGTGGTGGTGATGGTCGGGATGATGAACACATTCCAGGTTTGCACACTCAACCCAAGGCTCTGGTTGGATGTAAGGTCTCCTGAGTTCCTACAAAGTCATGGAGATCTCACGACCATGTTACAAAATGACCCTGCTGCGGAATGGAGGGGCATGAAAGCAAAGGGCCAGAGCACAGCAGTGCTGGCTTCTCTTCAGAGTGCTCCTACTCTAGATTTGGTCAGTTGACGTTCCTTTTCTACAAGGTATTTTGTGAAAAGCTGTTTGGACCATGAACACAATGGATCAGCCTCGGTAAAAATTAGGGCCCAACTGTGACCGATAATAGACGAGCATGGTCCTGGCCTCAAAGACCTCAGGAGGTTTGTTTATAGCAGCGTTCCTGCTCTGTGGAGGCACATTGCTTGTTGCTGAGATATTTAGCGCTTGTTTGCGGGATAGTGCCATGAAGGCTAGAACATTTAGTGGCTGAGGAGAGGAAGCCTGGCTCACAAAGCCTTTGATCTCTGTCTTTGTTGATGGTAGGAAGGACCATCTGTGCTCTTGGTACCAATGCCATCAGATTGGCAGGGCACGCACTGGGACCCTGGTGTTCTGCAGGCAGTACCATGCTGGGCTGTAGCCCAAGGGTGCTCAGGAACCCAAAATCTTCTCCTCTGTTTCTTTTCTTTAACCTTGGCTTTCGTTTTTCTCTCCTAGGGCACCTTAGACCTGACCCTGAAATCCTGTGTAAGGAGAAAGACGGACTCTATAGACAAAAGGTTCTGTTTTGACATTGAAACTAATGAAAGGTGAGATGCTTAAATGGTCTTAAGTACTTAAGTGGTCTCCAAACAAATAAACCCTGTAAACCCAGATGAAATCGCTCTTCGCTGTTTACTAAGAACAACTTTTGCTTCATTTTCCTGCCTGCCCCTGGGTGAACTCTGCGCAGGTCTGGGACCATCACACTGCAGGCCCTCTCGGAGGCCAATCGAAGGCTGTGGATGGAAGCCATGGACGGGAAGGAGCCGGTAAGTCTTCAGGGAGCTTCTGCATGGCTTTGAATTTGCTGCCGAGCAGTGTCCTCTGCTGGCAGGTCCTGGGGAAGAGCAGTGACACAGGCTCTGGCAGGCTCCTTCTTACCTCTGGTGCTTCACCACTGGGGCTTACTCGTAATTTAGGGCATCAGTTCAGCCATTCACAGCTGGAATGGGATTTCATGGTGTTCTACTGGTGGCACACCTTACAACGGGGATTTTGGTTTTCCCCCTTTAAAGCTCTGGTGTGTTCCCCAGTGGTTGCTGGTGCTGAGGTGGGACTGGGAGCGGGGACAAGGGACACAAGCACCCTCCGTAGCAGACTTCTCCTCAGTTAAACAGGAAAGGACACGGGATGGTGTGGAGGGTGAGCGTGCTCATGCTGGGCAACCAGTCACTTAGGGGATGTCTGGGGCTCACTCAGTCTCCATGATGTGTTGTTATGTATAAAGGATGACACCTGCTATTTATTATTACTAAAAAAATACAGGATGTATTATTGTATGGGATGAAGGAATGTCTTGACACTTGAATTTTCCAAAGCAAGCAAACAAACAAAACCCCCACAACCCCTGTGTGCCAGACTGTCCAGCTGCCATTTTTACAGGGCACTTAAAGGACAAAGTTTCCTTTCAGTTTTTGGGAGACCTCTTTCCTTGAAATAGTTGTTCCAGTGAAATGTAGAAAGTCATCAAAACCTCATTTATTGTCTAGATAACGCTATCTTGCATAATTATAAAATTACATTCCTTTGGGAGATTGCCTCACTGTTTGGGATTGGCTTGGGGTGATTTATGGGTTGCTGCATTTTCTTTGGAAAATAAATATTGAATCCCGTTGCATCATGTTTTTTGTTTCTTCCTCTTCCATTCCCTCCCCTTTTTCAGATCTACCACAGTCCCATCACAAAACAGGAAGAAAGTGAGTCATTTCTGTTGCTGTTGAAGCTGTCTGGAGGTCGGGGAGTGTATTTCCTTGCAGATACGCTCGTCCTCGATTTCTGCTGAATAGGCTGTGTATTCCCCCCCCGTGGTGGCACTGTAACTTTTTCCCTTTTCATCACAGTGTCTGATACTGAGGCCAGATAAGAAATTGGCAGACGGTAAAAGTTATCGGTGGCAACCTGCAGTTTTTATTTAGCAAGAAGTAGCGGGATGCGGAGTTCAATTTGCACCTCTAAACCCCAAAATAAGGGAGGGGGGGAAAAAAAGATCGGTGAGAGGTTTTGAGGGCATTTCCCTTAGCAAAGATTATAATAGGAAAATAAGAGGTGGCATTTAGTTCCCTGGAGCTCCCATCCCACCACCTTGTCCCGTGTGTCCCCCTTCACAGGGGGGTACCCTACCCATCACCCCTGCACCCCCGGGACAGGCTGCTGCCCCTTCCCTTTCCCTTTTCCCAGACCATTGCTGCAGTGGCTGAGTTTGCTGCCATGGAAAACTCTGGGGCTTTGTTAGCGGGGTGAAAACTTACATTCTGTATCTTAGAGCTTTAATTAGCTGACTTTTTAATGAGCACAGAGGTAGTATTAGCAGAGGCATAAGCGTGAAACCTGTTGTTTGACTTGTGTTTGCATTACACGCCTGGAAAGAATGTGACTCAGTGTTTCACAAAAGTAAATACACTCTATTTTTAATAGATTAGAGTTAGAAAGACTTCAAGTCGTATCATCCCACTCAGTATCAAGTACCTAGCGGATCTATGCTTAAAGGTGTCTTAACTCCTGTGTTAGAGCTCAGATACGTCTGAGCTGTTGCTCAGAGAAGAGAGAATCCTTATAAACAACTTGCTGAAAATACAGTGATTTCAGAGGAATTGCCAGCGTGGCCTGTGCTGTGCCTGGAGTTGATGTGTCCTGTGGCTGGTTTTTTCCAGTAAAATGTTGGTTTACATTAGAAAGATAAACAAAAATCCGCATACCTCCACTCCCCCCAGATAACCCAAACCCCCAAAATTCTAAGCCAACAACAGTGTGGTCACTTAGGAGAAATTCAATATAAACATTTGCACTGAACAGAAAGACATTCTACATAATAACTTGGACAATCCTTCCAGATATCCCGGAAAAATTAGCAGAAGTAGTAGTGTGATAACAGAAGTTGAAATATGTGTATAGAAAAAAAATATTCTGACTTTTCTACCTGCTTCATGATGCCTGCAAAACAGGCACAGAGATAGTCTGTGGTTAATTGGCTGGAACAAAACCCCGTGTTCTGCTTTACTCAGCATATCAAGCTGTATTGTTTTTGCTTTTTAATCTAGTCAAGTAGATAATCAGAAATTACATGATCCTATGATGTGGAAGAGCTTTAACTGCAGATTTTGCTGTCCTCTGGAAATGATTAATCAACTCCTTATCAGACACAGAGTCACATGTGGCAGGACTCTGATTTACACTTTATTATTAAAGACAGAAAGTGGGGGAGGGAGCAAGGCTGCAGCTCCAAATAAATTCAAGGAAAAATGGAGAACATATGGAACTAATAATTCCTTGTCAGGATTTAGAGAATGCCTGTGTTTCCGTGGGGGGATGTACGCAGTGTGGATGCATGTGTGCTGCCAGCATCTCTGTGTGCCGAGCGGGGAATGGCATGGGACCTTCCCAGTAGTTTTCCCTGGTGGTGCTCCAGCATCTAATCCTGCTTCTCCTCTTTGAAACAGTGGAGCTGAACGAGGTCGGCTTCAAGTTTGTACGGAAGTGCATCAACGCGGTGGAAACGAAAGGTAAGGAGCTCTCCCTGGCATCGGGAGGTGCCGTCGTCCTGGCACTGCTTCCCGGGGCCTGGAATTATGTTGTATTTTCAGCAGTGTGGTGGTGTTAGTCGCTGAAAGGAGACTTTGACTTTTAAGTGAAGAACACATGTCAGAGGAGTAGAAATCCTGCACTGTTTGTGATGTCGTTAGCCCAAATCGGGTTAGGATTGAATTTCCACCTTTATGTTGTTCTCATTCATTGGTTTCTCATCTTTGGCTCTGAGGAAACCCATAGGTAGGCAGAAGGAGAACAGCTTTGGAAGTTTCTTTATGCTGGGGGGGGGCAGAGCAGGGGTTAACTGGGGTACAGGGTTGTTCCAACTAATTTTGTTAAAAGCAGCAGGACAGAAGCAGGTCTGGTCTTTCGTGGAATGTCCCAGCTTATATTGCCAGTGTGGGCCATGGGACAAAGATAAATCCCTCTAGAACAGCTGGATCCCGCAGCTGCAGCAGGGAAAGGTGACTGGCTTCATTTCCAGAACCTTTGGGAGATGTGGCCACAGCGAAGCCGTGCCAAAACGGGAAGGAGCAGGGTTAAAGAGACCCTCCAGGCAAATACAGACAGTTCTGTCTTTCCTAACATCGGCTAATATTTTCCAAAAATCTGCTTAAATATGTTTGCCTTCTGTCACAATTTGAGCAAATGAGTGTGAAAGCAGCACTCCCCAAAAATGGTGTATTTAGGCAGGTAGGGTTTGCCAGCTCAAGTGTGTGTTCTGCACGTTGGCTGTTCTCCCCTCCCATGACACCATCCTGGCACAAAGGACAGGGACATGCTGGTGGCCACCACGGGCAAGCAGAGCTCCTGCCCGCAGCCCCCAGAGCCTGGTGGCAGCAGCCCCTTGCTGGGGGGCAGCCCGGGATGTTGGGGGGGACAGAGCCCGGGTGGTTCCTGGGGCAGAAGCGTTTCTGGGGAGCCAGGACCCGGCATCAGGGAGAGGGGTTCCACTAGATGAGGCTTTTGGACTTCCCACTAGATGGGGCTTTTGGACTTCCCACCAGCTGTGGAAGACCTTTGGCTAACTCTCTTTGGCTTTCTCCTGCTTAGGGATTACTACGGAGGGCATCTACCGGACCGTGGGCAGCAATATTCAGGTGCAGAAGTTGCTGAACGCCTTTTTTGGTAAGAATTAATCGTTCCGCGCAACTTGATTGTCCTGTTTTTGTATTGTTTAAGGGGGACAGAGAGGATCAGGTTTCACAGTGAGAAAGGTCAAGCATGGTTTTTGGTCTCTGTAGCCCCTCTGAGGCACATCTTTTCCTTCTCTTCTGGGTTTTTTTCTGTGCCCCACTCTCGTGCCTCTCCTTTTAAACTGTGTTTATTTGGTGGTGGTGCAACCTGCATTTTAACTCAAGGGAGCAGCAGCGAAATAAAGTGAGGTGGTGACCCTGGAGCAATGGGGACAAGCCTTCTCCCATCATGCGCTAAAAATATTCAGGCATTTTGGAGTCATGTGCTGGGGACATGTTCCTGCCACGGTCCCGGGATGCGGGACATCGGCCAAGGAGAGAGATGAGCCCTCACCCTCTCCTCCACTGCCAGCAGCGCCACTGCCAGGGAATTCACCCGCCCAATGCTGTTCAGGGGAAGGTGTCTTCTTCCTCAGGTCCAGCACGGCCATCTCCTAAACCAGTCCCCGCAGAGGAGCTCAGAGAAATCCTTTCCCTCGGTGGGGTATCACAGAGAGCTATACTGGGAAGGTGGTCTCCACAGGGAAACTGTTACCCTGGTTTAAGGTTTTCACCCGTAAGGACTGGGATAATTCACTCTATGCGATGTATAGGTTAGTAAGTCAAGGTGTGGAGCTCTGAGCAACCTGGTCTAGTAGGAGGTGTCACTCCCCATGGCAGGGGGATTGAGACAAGATCATAGAATCATCTAGTAGGAAGGGACCTTCAAGGTCATCTAGTCCAACCATCAACCTAACTCTGACAAAAAAACAAAAACAAAAACAAACAAACAAACAAACAAAAAAAACCAAACCAAAACCAAAAAAACCCCAAGAAACATCACTATACCATGTCCCCCAGCACCACATCAACCCATCCTTTGAACACCTCCAGGGATGGTGCCTCAACCCCTTCCCTGGGCAACCCATTCCAAGGCTTAATAACCCTTTCAGTGTAAAAATTCTTCCTAATATCCAATCTGAACCTCCCCTGGTGCAACTTGAGGCCATTTCCTCTAGTCCTGTCACCTGTCACTTCAGCGAAGAGACCGACCCCCACCTCTCTACACCCTCCTTTCAGGGTGTTGCAGAGAGCAATAAGGTCTCCCCTCAGCCATCCTCAAAGATGATCTTTAAGGTCCCTACCAACCCAAACCATTCTATGATTCTATGCATTTTTGCTGTCAGCCTTTCTGTGCACTGAACCTTGTATTTCGTACATAAACTGCTGAGTATTCTTTATACAAGAAAAAGTTAAACTCCCGGCAGCAGGTTGTGGAGCTCAGCGGTGTTGCTCTGTGCTGGGACAGGCATTCCCAGACTGGGACCTGGCTGAGGCCATCGTGCCCCTGTCCCGTGGCACACGTGGGCCAGAGCAGGCTGTGAGCCCCGAGGGTTGGTCCCACACACACACAAACACCGAGCTCTTCTCTCCATCCCTGCCCAAGCAACTGGAGCTCGGGGCAGAAGGTACATTTACATTGGTACCTACGTGCCTCCGGCTCCTACCAGCTCCCTGCTCAGACATCTGATATTAATGCAGTATTCACAGGCTTTTACTATTTTTTTTTTTTTTTTTTACTATTGTTTACTATTGCTTTTACTATTGTTGTTGTTTATTAAGAAGGCTGGTTTGTGCTGAGGTATAGCTGTACCCAGTTCCCATGGAGCCACGACTTCAGACAGCTATCCAGTTACACTTGCCTGGTGACTAATCACTTTTTATTGCTTCTTGATTCTCACCCTCCCTGTGAGTAGCTCTGTGGTTTTCTCATCTGAACCCCACCAGTGAGTGGCTTTTCATTTTATTTATATGCCTTGGTCTGGTTGACCACTAGCCACCCCACTGTGTACAAAATCACAATGGAAAGTCGAACAACACAGGCATTAACTGCTGCAGAAGGATTTCTTTCTGAGCTGCAGTAAGGAGATAGATTTTAACCCTTTTTTTTTTTTTTTTTTGGTTTTTTTTTTTTTTTTTTAAAAATCCACCCCACTGTGTACAAAATCACAATGGAAAGTCGAACAACACAGGCATTAACTGCTGCAGAAGGATTTCTTTCTGAGCTGCAGTAAGGAGATAGATTTTAACCCTTTTTTTTTTTTTTTTTTGGTCTCTATTTCTTTTTTTTAATAAATCATACAGTTTATTTCTTTAGTCCAGATGGCCCCCATCCTTGACTTCATCGTACCACAGAAATGATGTGGTTGTTGGGTGATGGTAGACAGGAGCAAAGTGTACTTCCACACTGCCGTGCCTCTTCCTCTGAGCTCCCTCCTCCCTGTGCAGCAAGAGGGAATGTTCAGGGGAGTAGCTGTGAAGGAGGGATTGGAACTGGACATTTAGATTACTTTGGATATCAGAAAGCTTGTCTTGGATCTGTTGAGACGTGTTGGTTTTGCCAGTCTTGGCTGTGCTGGGAAAAAAAACAAAGTGTAGAGAATAGGCACTTGCTAACTTTTCACCACTGCTTACATGTTACCTTTTGCTTTTTCCTTTGTCCCTAGTTAGCACTGCTCCTCAGCCTTTCCAAAGTGCTGGCGCTGGTACTGTTGTTCTGCTTTTCCCAGTCTTGAGAATCACCAGCTTTCTTCTTCATGTGCTGCTGTAGCACTGTTTGTCTCGAGAGGATACCCTCCCTGAGAGTGTGCTATTTATTAACACCCTCAAAATGGACTTTAATTCAAAGCCATTTTGTTCTTCCTCCAGATCCAAAGTGTCCAGGGGACGTGGATCTCCAAAGCGGCGATTGGGACATCAAGACGATTACCAGCTCACTGAAGTTTTATCTCAGGTAGCACTGAAGTTTTGTCTCGGGTAGCACTGCAGGTCACACGTACTTCCAGTGGGCAAAGGAGCTTGGGGCTGATCCAAGGGAAAAACAGAGTGAACTGCCAGATGTTAACATCTGGCTCTTGGAAAGGGCAAAGTATTGACAAAGGCTTTGGAAAGAGGAATGGATTTTTTAATTTTGTATTATTTTTTGAGCAATATGCCTATTGTAAAAACCCCACATCCCATGGGGAAAGCTGTTTAAATAATACTGTCTAGGGGGGGAGATGCCACTGGGAGCTGGTGGTGCTGGAGGGAAGCAGATTTGCCTGTCGGTGCTTCAAGATCGGTTGCGAGTGGGTCACGCTGCCCTGCCAGAGCTCAGCTTTCTTTCTGGTTATTGCAGGAACCTGTCTGAACCCGTCATGACCTACAAGCTCCACAAAGAGTTGGTCCTGGCTGCCAGTAAGTCCCACAGCTGCCCTGCTGCATGTCCCCAGTCCTGCCTTCCCCGGCCAGTGGACATCAAAATCACTTGACAGAGCTCTGCCAGCCCAACACCGGGGTGTCCGGCCACTTCCCCCTGTAGAAAGAGGAGTCACCCTCTCTTTTGAGTGCTTAATTGTGCAAGTGAGATGGTGGTATTTCTTCCCCTCTTTTGCTTGCTGTTGCAGTGCTCTTCCCTGTAACAGTTTCATGCTATGGAGAGCCAGGGGATGTCTGCTAACCTGCAACCAGCACAAGTGTCCCAGAAGAATTGTTTCTCAATACTATTAATGTGTTTATTTTAAAACCTGTGAGGGAATGGGGTGTGCTGCTGCCACGCAGATAGATGGGTGCTCCCTTTAAGTCGTGAAATTTGTCCTGGGATGTTGAATCCAGAGTGTCTACCAATGCATGAATGACATTTTAATGCTGCAGCTCTTGGGACCGAGCCACAGCCAGTATTAATGGAGATTAGCCAAGTAACATGGGTACACGGACAGGGAATCACTGGTGCTAAACCAGCCAGTCCTTGGCTGTCCTGTTCTTGTGGCCATTTCAAATAAACTGTAATTATTCTACATCCCCGGAGCGTGTTGAGAGGCAGCATGCTGAGATGGAGACTGGAGGGACACAGGGAGCTGGTCATCTCTCTCAGCGTGCGAGTACTGGCATTTGGAAATTTATGGCACACTCAGGAACATTTTGGCTGGAAGCATCCTTCCCATCCCCGTGCCCCCGTTGAAGTCAACAGGAGGGTAGGAGAGCGCCCGCCTCTCCTCGCTTTGGACCTCCAGAGAATTAATAACACTTCTTCTTAGTTGGCAAGGAAAATTTTCCACCACCTACTGATCGTGCTCAAGCCCAAGATTTATTAGTTTGGTTAAACCAATGGTGTCTGGGTATGTGCAAAACCATAATCCCTTCCCTACCCTCCCTCAGAAACTTGCACCATTCAGCTTCCCAGCTACCAAGATCCCACACTATTCTTTTCACACCGAGTATTTTATTGTTTCTTGATTATTTATGCTTCTGAGGGTGACCTCTTTGGGTCAGGGACTCCATTTTTTTTCCCCCGGCAGGACGTTTTACCACCGTGTTGGGTGTTAGAGCTGTCTGGGCTGATGAGATACCCAGCAGAGGGGCCGTGGGTTCCCCAGGTGTGCTGCTGTGCGGGGTGAGGGTGCGAAGGGCAGGACCCAGCCATGCCCAACCTGGATCCCCAGCCCTGCTCAGAGCCTGAACGTGGCTCTAAGCTCCCTTTCAAGCTTCATTTCTCCCTCTTTCCACTTCATTTTCTTTCTCACAATGATTACCCCGTTGCTATGTAATCTCACTTCCCTCCTGCTTCCCATCGCCGGGTTTGGCCAGTCAGCCCTACGTGGCAGAAGGAAAGGCTCCCACAGGTTTTCTTTGGCTTTATCTTGCTCCGATGTATTTCCTTTGAAAGCGGTGGGCACAAACTTCTCTTTGTTCTACTTCTCTTTCCAGAATCTGAGAACCTGGATTACAGGCTGGGAGCCATTCACGCTCTGGTCTATAAACTACCTGAGAAGAACAGAGAGATGTTAGAGCTCCTCATACAACACCTCGTCAAGTAAGCAGACTTTTTTCTCTAAAGGCACAGTAAGGGGAATAATGGAAGCAGCAGAAGAAGCTATTTTTTGTGGCAAGTTTGCATCCACTGCAGTGCCCTTAGGAATTTATGTTTGTACTACACAAAGGGTATGATTATCCTTGTTACCCACTGCATTAAGTGATGCATTCTCTTTCTAATTGCCACTTTCATCCCCTTTCTGACAAGCACCAAGCAGGAAATAATTGTAAAATGAAAATATCCTCTGACAGCAGAGCTATAAGTTGTCACCTCGCACTCCAGTTAGCAAGAATGTTAGGTCTGGGGTTTGGGAATGGCTGTGCCCATGGGCTGGATACGAAGCGTGCTTTGGTTTTCCCTCCAGCTCTATGGATTCCATGTCCTCAGCCCTTAGAGCAGCATGAAGGCTTGAGGGTGTCTGTCTCTGCCCTCCGACAGGCCCGTTGGGTGCTTGGTGGCACTGAGCAGCACTGTTCCACGTGCTTCCACCAGTGAGCCACTGGAAAAGCCTGTTACAGGATGATAATGGCACCAGCACTGCACTGGGAAATGGGTGTTTTCCTGCCTCCTTGTCACACCGAAAGCGAAGGCTCAGTGGGGAGGCTCTGCCCTCTCCACCCCAGGGAGGAGCAGAGATGCAGAAGGGAGAGAGGCTTGTGATGAGCCATGCTGAAGCTCAAAGCAAGGGAGCAACCTGTGTGTGGGTCAGGAAGGATCAGGGCTTGCAGAAGCAATGGCTTTTGTGGGACAGGGCTTGCTCTGGACCTTTGGAGAAGTGGTTTTGAAAACTGGGCTGTTTCAGCAATAAGCAGGGCTGGTCTGTCATTGTCACTCCCTAACACTTGATGGTGAGTGCTTGGCCCTGGGTGCCATGTCCCCTCTTTGGGGCAGGGAGGGCTGGTTGGGGATCCTGCTGCCATCTGCTTCCAGCCCTTCATGCACGTGTTTGTGTGGTTTTTAGAAACCTTTTGCCTAAGTGGCAGAGCTGAGAGCGTCTGGTGTGCGGTCCCATGAAGCCAATGCTGTACTTGTGGTCATTTTGTTTATTCCTTGAAGTGTTTACGCTTAAATTCCATTCCCTCTTCCCCTCACGCTGACAGAAACCTCTTTACCACCAGAGCTACAGGGCAAACCCAGAATTCGTCACATCTCAGCATCAGGGTCTCTCTGCCCTGGTCCACTGCTGGAAACAGGTAGTGCCCTCCCTGGTGGTTAATAATTCACGTTCCTCCAGGGCTTGAAGGCCGTTGGGCAGAATGAGCTCTGTTTTGTGAAAACGCTGGTTCTTTCTGAGAGAAGATGCTGTGTAGAGATTTATTGAAAACCTCCAAAGCGTGCTCCCTACATTCAGTCCTCCTCCTTCAAAGAGAGAGGAAAAATTGAAGCAAAAATTCAGTTCTGGATGAATCGGATATTCCAATTTAAATGATTCCTTTTGTGTCTGTGTTGCACAGATGACTTTTGATTGCAGAGTTAAAAGAGGAGCTCAGAGTGGGAAGGGATCAAATAAAAATGCTGTCATGTTGCTCTCCCAGACGGTTGTCTTGGCCAAATGTGCTTGTCATAGCTAGATACATGTTTTATCTCTGGTAGGGTTGGGAAACAAAGCCTGCTGAAACAAAATGCAGAAAATTGAATGGCTGATTCTCAGTGTGTCCTTTTCTATTGCTTGGAATAAGATCTGTTAGAAAAAGAAAAAAAAAAAAAAAACAAACCACAAAAAACCGCAAACCAAACCAAAACCTTATTCCTTGTTTCCTTCCTGCCCGCAGCATATGTGAGCACAGCCGAGAGAATCTGATGTCACCGTCTAACATGGGGGTGATATTTGGCCCTACCCTCATGCGAGCACAGGAGGACACCGTGGCAGCGATGATGAACATCAAGTTCCAAAACATAGTGGTTGAGATCCTCATCGAGCACTTTGGGAAGGTACAGGTGGTCGCCCCGGGAGCACCTCCACGCAGCTTCTGGCTGCTCCATCATGTTCATGCAAACTGTTGCTGTGGCAACGATGTAGAGCTCTGGCTCCTTTTCCCGGAGTCTCTTTAGGGGCTGGGATTTTTTTTATATAATATACTGTTCTGAAATGCTTCAGAAGGAAACAAAAAGTGTAGCAGATACGTTCCTCACCATTGCCTTTAGCTAGTTACAAAGGAAACCCTGAGCCAAGGGATTTTTACTTTCTTTTTAAATAAGAAGAATCTTTATTGGAAAAAAAAAACCTGTTCTATGCTTGGACATTACAGGAATTTACGCTTTTCTTTGCTGAAGGCAGGAGCTGGACCAGAGTGTAACTGGTTTCAACGGGCATAGTCCAAGATGAGCATTATACAAGTATTCATAGAGGGGAAAAAAAACAACCCCAAAGCAGACAAAAAAAACAAAGCAGGATTGAAAGGTTGAGGAAAATAATTCATTTGTAGATACAATCTGTTCAGACCCAGGTGTAGGGGTGGCATGGGCAAGTCTGGGGAGGGGAGCTGTTGGAGAAGACCTCGGTGAGCGGCCGGTAGCTGCTGTGTTGGGGCAACGCACCCCAGCCAGGCTCCAGCACCATTTGCCTTTCATGGGGACTTGCTGAATGTTTTTGTGTGAAAGTATTGCCTGACTGCACAGTCTGGATCAGTCTGATGTGGTGGGTGCTGAAGATTCAACAGCTTTTCATAATGTGGTGCTTTGTCTCCTGGTAGAAAGCAGAATATTCCAGTGCCTTCTATATTAGGGCTTTCTCTGCACAGTATCTGATATAATGGCAGAGGGTTTTCGGGGTGGCTGGAGGGTGATAGAGCTGTATGTTAATATTTAAGAACTTGAGCAGCGTTTGCATTCAGATCCGTGTCCCAGGGACCAGATCGCTTCCATAAGAACAGTGCTAGGTTCAAAGGAGTGAGTTTGGTCCTTCAGCTTTTCAGAAAACTTTACACACAGAGCATCCAAACAGTCTCTTATGTCTTAGAGGTAGGAAAGGTTTGAAGCCATCCTTTAAAGGATGATGTTTGCTGTGAGGAAGATGGGAGCAGCACACGGGCAGAGGTGAAGCTCTCTTTTCGGGAAAGGAAGAGGAGGCCAAAGCTAAAAGAGCAAGATACTTGCAGAAGTGGACGTGGAGTGGGAGCAACCAAACGGGGACCAGATGGGTGGCGTGGGAGTCGGTTGTGGTGCCAAGGACTGGAACCAGAGAAAGGAGATGAAAGAGCTCAGAGAGGCTTTGGAGTATCCACACGAGAAGCTCATGAAAATCACATGGCGGTCTCTTTGTAGGTCTCTGCAAACGCTTTTAATAAGTTCCCACAGCAAAACAGTGGATCGTTTGTGTGTTGGGATCCTCACACAAACTTGGTCCAGAACCAAACCTCTGTCCTCCCCTCTTGAACGGCCTGTGGTGCAGACTGAGTCAACACAGGACTTACACTGCCGCCTCTAAGAGCTGGAATTAAATCTTTAATTAAAAGCCAGACATCTCTTTGCTTGCTTTTAATTTCTTCAGCGTTAAGGTTAAGTTAGTAACATTTATTAGATTGAGCTTGTAAGTTTGGCGTTGGCGCTGAATGTGTCTTCAGCTCACACATGAGCAAACACTCTAAATGAGTCTGGAGGAAGAGAGGGATAAGGTTTATATAGTGCAATATGAAGAATCTAAAGGACAAAGTAACTATTCGTGAAGACTTTGTGGGTAATTACTGTTTCTACAGCTTATATTTCAGTGCCATGGTTAAATTAAATAAGTTGATGGCTCTGGAAACGCCTTCTTCACTGTACAAACCTTCTAAATATGAGGGTCTGTCAATATCTTTGTACCTTCAAGTTGTTTAACTTGGAATTTCATTTAGAAGGCAGAAGCAAAGCAGAGGCTGCACCCACATCTTAAAGAGAGTAGTTTGTGGTGGGGTTTTTTCTTTAAAAAAATTACATTGAACACTTTTCAATATGTAGGAATGAGGTTGATGTTTCCAAAAAAATTGCCCTGCTGCAGGTAAACCTTTGCTATTTTAATAATACTTGAGCTGCTGCTTTTAAATCACAGGCTGTTAATGTCAGAGCAAATTCCCCTGAATCCAGGCAGGGAGAAAAACACCAGGCTTTGAGTTCTGGAGTGGAGAAAATGTGCTGCCCTGCACAGGGAAGAGCCCCCCCTGGCATTAAGCATCAGCAGCCAGTGCCGTGGTGGGCGCTACCTGGTCTTTGAGATCAAGAAGGTTAAAGTCGAGGCATGTTTTTCTCTCTCATCGCATGTCTTGTTTTCCCAGAACTGCTCTTTGGCTGGGAGAAGAAAGAAAATACTTTTGGCTTAAGTTACAAAAATGGCGCCCTTAATCAAATCAGAATGTTAATTTATTCATGTAACGATTTTTCTGGGTGACATGATAAAATTGTTCTTCCAGAATGAAGCTTGCACTGAGGGTACAATGACCCTGCTCGGTGGTGGGTCTGTCACCAGCTCTTGTCCTCTGGGGCTTGATCCATCTCAACTCCTGCCGGCAGCAGGGAAGGGACCAGCTCCACATTCTCCCAGGATGGGCAGCACAGCCCATGCCACTCCGTCCATAATAACTCATTCTTTAAAGCCTGATAGAAATTCAGTTAATATCCATGGGAAAAACACACGAGCAGTTGGTTTTGGTCCTTAATGTGGTATTTCAGATGGTCAGGAGACTGCCCAGAAGCTTAATTATTTTCAGCTCTTAAAAAAAAAGCATTGACATAAATAAGAACCTCTCAATTAAACCAAACCAAATAGGTGCCATATGACCAGTGAGAGAAGGAGATAAAACTCTTTAGTGGCATTGTTTTTATGCCAGTATTTCATCCAAGATAATTTCATACTGCCACACACTTCATTGTAAGCCAAGAGCTGGAGGGGTTTTTAGCGTTAAATCTCAAACAATGCGCTGGTTTGTTCGGGTGCTTTCTGTAGATTGTATCACCTCGCTGGGGTGGAAAACTTGATGTTTCTCAGAAGCTGTCAGCTTCAAAGCTTTCTTCATCTGCTCCTGGGTAATTTGCTTCAAAATGCTACATATTTTGTCTCTATTTGTGATTTTGCTGCATTAATTAGTTCGGCGTTGCGGTGGGTGCGCAAGGTGCAGAGCAGGCAGCCTGGCTGTAGCAGAGCTCACGGCAGGACACGTCTCTAGAACCATAACTAAAGCATCCCTCCTACTCCAGCCCTTCTCTAGCCCTGGCAACCAGGGCTTTCCCTGGTGTTGCCGACCTTCAGAGCGGCTGGTGGGCACCATGCTGTCCCTCTCCTGGAGAGGCTGGAGGAGCTGGGGTCGCAGGGCACTGCCAGGCTCTCATGGGCTGCAGCTGGTCGGGGTGGTTTGGAGCAGCCCTGGTTTTTCCAGCCCTCCTGGGTCAGTCAGAGGTGACTCGGGCCACAGATGGTTCCACCGAATCACAGAATGACATGGGGTTGGAAGGGACCTCTGGAGATCATCTAGTCCACCCCCCTGCCAAAGCAGGACCACCCAGAGCAGGCTGCACAGGAACGTGTCCAGGCAGGTTTTGAATGTCTCCAGAGATGGGGACTCCACCACCTCCCTGGGCAGCCTCTTCCAGGGCTCTGCCACCCTCAAAGTAAAGAAGTTTCTCCTCATGTTTAGATGGAACTTCTTATGTTCAAGTTTGTGCCCGTTACCTCTTGTCCCATCGCTGGGCACCACTGAAAAAAGACTGGCCCCTTCCTCTTGGCATCCACCCTTTGAGTATTTATAGGCATTTCTGTGCCCGCTGGAGAGCAGGGAGGAGCAGGGCAGCCCTTGGCAAAGGTGATGGGGTGGCCACGTGCTGTGTGGGAGCTGGGTTCGAGCACCTGGTGTGGCTCAACCTCCTACCTCCATACTCTGTTGTGAGGTGCCTTTTAATGACACCAAGGTTAATGAGGCAAGCCTCTGAGGGTGTCATTTGTCCTGGTGAGACAGGAGGGTCATCTAACCATGTCTGCTTTTACAGATCTACTCTGGACCCCCAGAAGACACCACGCCCCCCCCGGTGCCTCCTCCCAGGGTGGCTGCCCGGCGGCACAAACCCATCACCATTTCCAAACGTCCTCTGAGGGAAAGACCCGTCTTCTTCGGTGCTTCTGTGGAAGACAGTGGAGGTCAGTCCAGCTGCTCACCGATGCCTTACCTGCCTCTCACCCCTCCTGTTTCTTTTAGCACCTCTCCAGGAGCAGTGGAGATAACATTGGCAGGATTGCATTTCCCACTGTGAACATGAGTCAGTTCTGTTGTTCGGTGAGAAAGGAAAGCGAAAAAACCCTCACATGGAGGTTGCATCCTCTCACAACTCAAACTCCATCAGGATTTCTTTTTTCTGTTCCTTGCAGTATTCTCCGTGAGCTAAATTTGGAACTGGTTCTCACCTATGAGAAGCCCAGTGTTTGGGGCTTCAGTGGCAAAATTGCAAAGTGATGGAGATAAGACTGAGGAGCAGAGTTGGTGGGATGGGAGCTGTGGGCCTGGGCTGGGGGTGACCTCGTGCTGCTGGAGTCTTGTCCCACCAGAGCACATCAGTCCCCGGAGGGTCTGCAGGGCTGGCTCAGCGATTTGACATCCCGAGCGAGAACAATGAAGCACTTTTTTAGGACCCAGTGATAGTATTTTTAGACCGAGTACAACTCTGCTGTTAAATTCATTTGATTGTAAGGAGATGTTAAGGCCTTTATTATCATGTTGAAAGGCACATCAATGTGAACTCATATTTCTCTGCGCCCGATTTGCTCTAATTGGCGTGGCAAGCTGTGCCATGGATCACATCATCACCACAAAAGAAGAAAAGTCTTTTTTCTCCGTTACGGTTTTCAGAGCTTTGATGATGTTTTAGGCTTCATACTGCAAGTGTACTTTTTAGCAGTGGTAAAACATGATTGATTCAAATTGCTGTTTAAAATCACAAGACGGCTCATGTAGTTTTAGATGGCCTTGCATTTCAGCGTTTCTCTGCTCTGGGAGCAGAAGCAGTAGCATTTGGTTGCCCCGGGGCTGCAGGGTACAATCAGCTTCATAGCGGTGCTTCTGCATCCTGTGCCTGGGTCTGCAGCACAGCAAGAGGGAGGAGAGGAGTTCTTTTTGGAGGCACATAAAAACATGGTACAAAACTCCTCATGAGTGAGAGCACTGGAAATGTGAGAGAAACCCATAAGGATATTCAGTTTTCTTTATTTCTCAGCGTGAGCCACTCGCTATTTGTGTTTTGCTCAGGGCGGGTGAGGGCCTGTCCATCCCCCACTGCCTGTTTGTCCCTCGGTACCACAGGAGCTGTGCAGCTTGGGGGGAGAGCTCTGCACTGCCATGGGGCAGAGACTGCAACCCCTTTGTGCTCCCTAACCCTATGGCTCTCTGTCCCCTTGCCTCCGCAGCAGATCGGCACGGCCAGACCCCCAATGGCAGCAACAGTGTGGGCATGGAGGCCCCCAAACCCCTGCACCGCAGCCGCCTGCCCGCACCCCGACTGGGGGGGGACGATCCAGGGCGTCCCCCCACCGAGGGCCGGCCGGACCCACGCGCCGAGTTGGAGGTGGGGAAGCTGGTGGCCAGGCTGCAGGATGGAGGGGCGAAGCCGGCCACCAAGGCTGCCAACGGGGTGGTGACCAGCCCTGCCCTGAGGACCTCCACGCTCCAGGCCAGGAGACCGGCTCCGCGGCCGGGGATCTACGGCAGAGAGGGTGAGCGTGTGCCTGGGGCTGTGGCTCGTGCCAGGGTCCCAGCCAAAGCCAGGCAGAAGGAGAGCTGTTCTCCCAGAGAGAGGTCGAGGTGCTCTGCACATCATCTGTGGTTCTATGATCTGTGATCATGCACCAGGGTGGCTGGAGTGGGTGGTGGGTTCTCGCCTTGAGTCCTCCTGATGTAGCTCAGCAAGAGGAGTTGGGAGACCAGAATAGCATGAGATGTGGGCACAGACCCACAACTCTTAAAGAAGGACTCCTCATGAGGGAGTGTAGTGATAGGACGAGGGGTAACGGTTTTAAACTGAAAGAGGGGAGGTTTAGATGAGATATTAGGAAGAAATTCTTTCCTGTGAAGGTGGTGAAGCACTGGAACAGGTTGCCCAGAGAAGCTGTGGATGCCCCATCCCTGGAGGGGTTCAAGGCCAGGCTGGATGGGGCTTTGAGCAACCTCCTGTGTGGTAGCTTTCTGTGGGGTGGCTGACCCTCCCCATATGCAGAGCTCAGCCTAGCTCAGTGCACCCATGAAATTCAGGCTTGAGTAATAATATAGAGTATATTAAACCCAAAGCAATTTGTACCCAGTTTAACTAGCTTTAAGCTCCCTGGATCGTCAATGCTCTCGCAGCAGAGATGAGGAAAATGGCAAAAGTCACTTTCACATTTTATTTTCTGATCGTTTTATCTGTCACGCCATCTGTGACAGGTTCTGGCTTCCCGAGGCTTTACTGGAAACATTTCTTTCAACAGTTCAGCCGTCGGTGTTAAATATAAATAATGATCATTATTTGTGTTCTAATAAGCTTTTAGAATTAGTTTGGGGCCAGCTCTGAGCTGGCATTGTCCATTTCGGTGGAAGAAGGCAGGTGGGTGTTTGTGTATCTGCGTGTCTGTAGACGTTCTCCAGCTTCTCCTCCGCACTTTCCAGTGCTTTTCAGATGCTGTCATACCCTGACAGCCTCGAGTCCAGTATTCAGAAAATAAAAACCAGGCTGCATTCTTGATAAATGACTCCCATGTGGAACGGAGAGAAAGAAGAAAGGCCCAGATGGGTAGCACAAACATCGAATTCATCTGACTGACACTACTGGCTTACTTTTTAAATTTGTCGCATAAGTGGTAGGTGGGAATCTGCTTTTGGAAGAGTAAGATAGTGTGTAAAGTTGGCTTATGCATCAGCTGCGTTTAGTGCTTCCAAGTTTTATGGTTTTGCATTATCACATATAGCGTGCTGACAGCGGGTCCTGGAGACACAACGTAATAAAACTGGCTGTGTTGATCCTTGGACACATGTATACAGAAGAAGACTTGAAGTAGTAATAAAGTTATATTACGTCTGTGTTGATACTTGCAAGTCAGTGCTAGAAACGCTGCTTTGAGCTTTCGTGTGCACAGTTTGGGGATAATTTTAAAAAAATGGAAAAACGAAGAAGGATTAGAAAACGGGGCTTTTACTGAGAAATTCAAGTTATACAGCTTACCAAGGAGAAAAATTAGGATCAGAATTTAAAAATGCAAATATGGAAGAGGGTTGGTTAAGGACCAGTGTTTGAGCTGGCACACCAGGGAATAATGAATTTCGGTAACTAAGGGGTTTACAAAGCCTTGGTTAAGTGGTTGCAGCAATTAATTATCTTACCAAATGGAAAAAAAAAAATCTTTAGCTTATTTCTAATCAGAAACAGGACTCATTAGGCATGGAAATGTCTAAATTAGAAGGGCAGAAACCCAGCACTTATGATGGTTTTGAGCCATATAAATGGCCAGACGAGAAGATTGCAGGGATTGCTGTCCTGCAGAAATGCACCCTGGAGGTCTGGGCGCTGGAGGGAAGGTGTGGGGTCACCAGGGGTGTCAGGTAAAGACTGACACTCATTCCAAGACAAAGTCTTCAAGGATTAAGTGAATAACGAGGTGGGATGGATCTTGGGGATGAAAAGCAGCGAAGTCAGGGACTCCTGTGAGCAGAGCAGAAAGCCAGGGCATAGGACAAGCAGTGCCACTGTCTGAGATAAAAGTTTTTGTTTAAGAAAACTTATCATTCCCAGGCAATGTCATCTTTGCAATCAGCAACTATAGCAAGTTTGTCGTCGCAGGGTCCAGCATCAGCCCCTCTTTCTAGTGCCAGGAAGGCTGTGCTGGGGCAGGCAGGAGGGGAACTGCCTTTTCCTGGGACTCTGTCCCTAAATTCTGGCTACTGCCCGCTATCAAAGAGAGAATGTTGGGGCAGACAGACAGAACTAAGCACACTAACATGTATAGTGCCTCCTCATAAACATCTAGCCCTCCACCAAAGCTTTTTTCTCAGTGTTTGCAATCCTCAACCTTGCAGGCGAGTACGATGGTGTCCCTAAGCCCCGAGCCCATGGCGATAAACCCGTGATAATGCGCCCCCCCGTGAGACCTCCGGACCCACCATGCAGGACTCCTGTCCCTCCAAAACTGGAGCAGAGGCCAGATCTGATAGCAGGGACAGCAGAAGAGATGCCTTCATCTGTGTAAGTCGGCAGCCCTCGGTGGGCACGTGGTACCCAGGATGGGGGGCTCACCAGCACCCGGGGTCTTGGGGAGCGTGCTGGGGGGACGAGGTCCATCTGGGCAGCAAGAGGAGGAGCTGGGGTCACCTGCCAGGAATTTTAGAAGAGGAGGAGGAGAAATTTCCAGTGCCAGTGGTGGACAATGACTGGAACCTGTGGACGTCCCCTTCGATCCCAGTGCATGGGTTTGAACGTGACACCGGCACAGCCTGGGAGGGGAGCGTGGTCATAGCAAAGGCAAACACACGCTGGAAAAACAAAGCTCTGAACCTTCTCAAGTACAGCCCTGGGGCTGAGCTTTGTCCCATCACCTTCTCTGCTATTTTTTGTGTCAATGAAGCTGGAGAGCCCCTCCCTGCCTGGCTCTGGGCAAGCCTTAAATAAGACGCTTCCTGGGGAAGGACAAGATCCAGCTTGGACCTCTCTTAGGGAAATTGGATGGGGTTCAGCTTCATCATCAGATTTCTTTCAGATTTTAAAGAGACAGAAACCCTCTCTCTTTCAGTAGGAATTAAAAAAAAGGAAAAAGGGTGACTAAATACACAGGGATCTCAGCCCAGCCTCTGGGGCGGGTTGGTGGGGAGGCTGTAACCTGGGTGCTGCTGAGGTGCTGCAAAGATGGGCGTTTTGTTCCCCTGCCATCTGAGCAGGGCAGCACCCCAAGTCTGTGCTAACACCCCTCATCCCATGCTCAGCCACTGTGCTGCATCCCTGGGGTGTGCAGGGTCCACCCCCGGGGACTCACCTTGCCCATAGTGACACGAGGTGCAAAACTGAAGTGCCTTTGTGCTGTGGAAACCACACAACCCACCGGTGACAGTATCTGGAGCAGCTCTGGTGGAAGTTCCTGCCACGTGAGAGCTCTCAGTTCACTCTGTGCTGGCCCCCACTGTCTGTGGAGACACCCCCCCCCCCCCCCCC